TTGGTGTGGGTCTGTTAGAGTTCATCTTTTGGGGGACCCTCTGTGCTTTTTGTACATAAATGTTTCCTTCTTTAGGTTTGGGAATTTTTCAATCAAAAGTTCTTCAAATACATTTTCAATTTCCATCTCTCTTCTCCTTTTGGAGTCCCTTATAATGTGGATATTGGCATATTTTATACTATCCCATAGATCTTCTATGTTGCTGTGGGTTTTTTGTTGTTTTTTTTTTTTTAATCTGTGCCTTTCTGCTGGCTGTTTCAATTGGGTGATTTCCATTATTCAATCTTCCAGATCACTTATGTGTTCTTCTGCATTATTTAGTTGTCTATCATTACTTCAAGTGCTTTTTATCCCAGAAATTGAATTATCTGTTTTTTATTAAGCTTTAAGTTTCCAGTTTCTTGTTAAAATTATCTGTATTTAGATTGATTCTCCTAATTCAGTTAGCATTTTTATTACCAACTTCTTGAATTCATTGTGTGGTAGACTGATTATCACTGTTGCATTATTTTTTCAGGGGTTTTCTCTTACTCTTTTGAGAGTAATCCCTCTGCTTTATCATTTTACTTACCTTTCTCCATTTCTATGAATTTAGGTTAAACAGTTATCTGTTGTCTTGATGGGATGTTTTTATTTGGGAGCATCCCTGGGTAGACTTCGTGTGCCCAGTGTCTTTGGTGTGAGGGCTGGATTTGACATTGATGCCAGCCACATCTTTCCTCAATGTTGTACTGTCTACTTGATAAGGAGTGTGGCTGGTGTTGGCAGAGCTAGAGCCTGCACAGATGAGGTAGACTTCCTCTCTGCTCAGTGGCAGGGGTGGAGGTCTGTTCCCAAGTGACTGGAGTGGGTGCCCTGAGGGTCAGACTTGAGCTGGCTCTTCTCCATTTAAGGGTGTGTTTTTCCTTCTCCCTGCAAGGGGGTCTTTGCCCCAAAAGAGAGTACAGCTGATGTGAGTGTGGCTCAGAGGCCCCACATGCTGCCTGTATCGGTGCTGCGGCTCTGCTCAAATGTAGCCCAAGGTCGCATCTTCTCCCCTATTCTGGTTGTCACCGATCTCGAGCAAGGTTGTGGTGTGGAATGGGCAGGGTTAGAGCATTCGCTTGGCTGGGGGTAGGGTATTCTGGTTGTGGGAACTGAAGCAGCTGGGCCACTGTCAGAAGTGTGGCCTGCAGCTGTGATGCTGTTTGAGTAAATGCCAGTGGCCTCCGCCTACCTGGCCCAAACAATAACCCTGGACCACTTCTGCATCCTAGATCAAGTCTCTTCCCAGGACCTGGCTGCCCTAGGCCCAGTACCAACTGGTGGTGTGGACTGAGAGAGGCTGGGATGGTCCCTGAGCTCAGACTGGGGAGCACGGTGAGGCAGCAGCCAGTAGGGCAGACGCCACTGGGTCTGGGGACAAGCCAATGCCCTGGTGCCTCTCAGGAGTGGAGTCTAGCCTGCTCTCCTCTGCATGAGATGCTTAGCTTGTGGCTCGACCCACTCACTCCGCAGGCAGGGCATGTGTCTGCCCTCGTGATCACCCCGCTCCTTCTCTGTGAGTCCCACCCCAGGGCAACAGGTCTCTACCTGAAGCTTTCTTTCCTGTTCCACCCCACCACATGGGAATCCTTCTTGCATCCTTGGTGTATAGGAATTATTCTGCCAATTCTGTTTTCCATGAGAATTGTTCCACACAGAGATGTAGTTTTCATGTGTTTGTGGGGGGAGGTGAGCTCCACATCTTCTTGATCCCCCTCCCTATTATTTAGTCAGTGGGGCTGTAGAATCTTGTCAAGGTCATTTGAAAGCCTCAACATTATATCCCTTATTCCTTTAGTCATACTCATAGCTAGTCTTACAGAAAATTTCTTAGTAGATCAGCTATTAGTGATGGAACCTGGAGGTACAAGGAGTTTAACAGGTAAGGAAAGCATCTATAAGGGAACGGAGGCATAAAAGTGCACAACATGTTTTGGAAAATGAGATGTGTGTGGCCAGTGCAGGTGGGGGAAAAGGCAGCAGGAAGATCAAGAACTTGAGACTAACTGTGAACCATTTTGGATCACTTATTACATGACAGCTACTATATTCTGTATTCATGCTTTCCATACATTTCTTTGAATCCTTTCAATAATGAAAAAATTATAAGGTCCACTGTATTCTTGCTTTCAAATATGGCAGCTTGCCTTCAACTTGACTCAATAATCTAGAAACCTGGTTGTCCACATGTACCCAACCTCTGTCCCATGAAGCTGGAGTGGTGTGTTTTTTATTAGCCCAACACCCCTCCCTTCCTTTGGGTAAAAGTCTGCACATTCTGGCCACGGATGTGTGGATAGAACCTAGAGTAAGCCAGTTGCAGTAACTCATCTCCACCAGGGTTTTCAGCACCTGAGTCGGAGAGGAAGCTTCCTGCCTCTTGGGGAGATGGGGGCCGGGAGCTGCCACTTCCCCACCGCGGGGGGAAACGCTGGCAGGTAGAGAGGGACAGGGATGGGCGGTGCTGAGCCACGGCTCTTCAGGGCATGTCTGCTGTACCCCTCTTTTCCTTAGGCAACTTGTTAAGATGTGTGCATTTAGCACATAAAACGTGTCCAGTAAGCAGAGTTGTTATCAAGGCAAACGGGAAAGAGGAGCAGTTAGACTGGTAAGAAGCCCTTCACCTCCCCTGTCTTCTTGTCTCTAGGAAGTCTAGGATTTACTTTAAAATATACCAATGAAGAAAAATAGTAGAGCAAACAAATTGGCAAAAATGTTGAAAACTATTGATAAATGGGGAAGTTATTATCATAGACTCTCAATTATTTATTAGTCTCAATGGATCATGCTTTATTTTTTTAATTTATTTTTAATTGGAGGATAATTGCTTTACTGTGCTTTAAGAAAAGGTTATCATGCAGTTTCCTTTTTTGGTCCTACTGATGTGAATTACACTGATTTTCGGGTGTTGGCCAACCTGCTTTTACTAATGTTTCACTTGGAATTCTTATGAGGTAAACTGCCCTATGGTTTTCCTTTCTTGTTAAAATTCTTGAAGACACGTGAATGCCCATCACTTCTGAGGTTCCTTTGTTCTACTGATTCTACTGAATCATTAGATAAATGATTCTATATCGCAATGATTCTATATTGTATCCATCTCATTATCTATTAAGCTCCAAATAAAGTGTGGATTATGTTCACCTAACCAGAAATCTCCATCACACCCAAATGTTCATTTCTTGAACTTTTCTAGAATTCTTCACTTTAAGAATGATACCCAGATAACCCCTAAATTTTTACCACATAAATCCTTTTTAGAACTTATTTTCCCCCATATAATGACATTCTCCAGGTAGTAACACTACCAACCTGTCCTTACACTATTTTCCACTTAATTTCAGTTGTGGAAACTTAACTTCCACTTAATGTTTAGTCGCTAAGTCATGTCCAACACTCTTCTAACCCGATGGACTACAGCCCACCAGGCTCCTCTGACCCTGTGATTTTCCAGGCAAGAATACTGGAGTGAGTGCCATTTTCTTCTCCAGGGGTTCTCTCCCACCCAGGAATCAAACCTGCGTCTCCTGCATTGCAGGCGGATTCTTTACCACTGAGCCACCTGGGAAGCCCCTGACATGCCATATAAGCAATCATATAAGATGATTGCTGAATCTAGATGACAAACTCACTCTTCAAAGATCAAAAGTTAAAGCATCAGATAAAATTTAAGTCTTATGAGACTTCCATTTTTGAAATATGTAACTCTCACAGCACAAACACAAGTTATTTACACGTTCTTTTTACAAAATGTGTATGCCATTTGGAAAGAATACTGTTAAGATCATGATCTAAAATACCTGTCAAGAGTTCAAAAAGGACCCATGGAATCTGGTCTTCATAAATCCACAGTACAACGACATAAAACACAGCTGACTGTCAGGGCTTACTTACACATAAGAATACTAATTCTGTATCATGGCCTATGGCCTGTTTTTGTACAGCTGCAAGTTAGACATGGTTTTGACATTTTAAAAAGATTATTAAAACAAAAGCTAAATTAAAGAATATGCAACACAGTCCCATGTGGCCGGCAAATATCTTCTCTGTGGCATTTTAAAGAAAAAGTTTCCTGACCCTGCATTACATGAAGCTGATTGAGAGTCAGCTACTGGAATATACTGATGAGTATTTTAAAAAAGACACCACTGTTATGTGCCAGTACCATCAGCACTACTCATTTCTAAAATGAGGCACTTCTTTTTGAATATGTACATCTTCAAAACATAATTACATCTAGCAAGTAGCTCTGCTACTTAACTCTAGCCCTTTGTAATCAGGTCTCCACATAAAATCACAGTATTCTTAGGGGCTGAAGATATTAGGGGCACAAATATCAGATATCTGTCATTGAGTTCATGGTAAGTAGGTTAAGATCACGTAGTCTTCAGTGTTAATAAAATTTATAATTTAGATATTGTCAATAGGATGTGTTGCTGCTGCATTATTTAAATAATATCTATAAAAACATGTTCCACATCCTAATTCGTTGTTTTTGAAAGGAAGAATAACTTAGTTAACTTAGTAGCTACTTTAAAAATGAGAAATGGAAAAAAAGAAACACCGCCTCCCCCACAAAAGGTAAAACCACAGCAAAAAGCTTTGGAATGCAAAAGACGGGGGACTCCTAGCAACAGCACTCAAGGTGGCTTCGGTGTCTCATTTTAGCTAGCTGCTCAGTTCCCACAGCAACCTCAGTCTCTCACCCGTGAGCCACTTCATTTAAAGAATGACAGACAGGTCCATGAGCCAATGTTTTAGAAGTGAAACCAGGGCTGCTCAACACGCACGTCTTCTCCGTGTGGGTTAAGCAGTTCCTGGTCAGGAGGCTTTGTTCACGCCAGAAAACAAGTCCTGTACTGGGTGTTTTCCCTTCTGCAGGCCAAGCTGGCTGAGCATCACATCATGAAGACATCTCTGATGCCGAGTTTTCAAATGCTCAGTGAACGCTGAGGTAGATTTCTGATGGATCTCTTTTATACCCTGATTCGATCAGGACTCGCTTCTTTGTGAATCCTCCGCCTGGGAAATATCTTCCGCTTAAGTGCAATTAACTAAAGGATGAAAGACAGAAGATAAATTGTAATTCTCCAGGTTAACAAACTTTAACTTTCTTGCTGAGGGTCATATGACCTTAATCTTTCCCCTTGTCCTGTACATAAAGAACAGACGGCAAACAAGGCTCCATCATTCCTCCCCTCAAAACAAAACTAACGGCTTTTTATATGGTTCAAATTATATTTCCCCAAGTTTCTTTTTCTTTAAGACCTATAAAAACTACGTATTTTTATATAACAATTACCACAGGTATTCATTCTCAGGATGTCTGTCGAGTCTTTCCACTGAAGGACACTGAGTCTTCCCTCATTGAGATACTGCCTCTGGGTTTGCAAACAACTACACGTGTAAGCTAGAATCTTAATTTTTTTTTTTTTTTTAAGAATTCTATCACCATTGTTTTCCTGTACTTATTAACCATATCAACAATCATTGGGCATTACCTGTATTTTCAAGTTTATGAATAGGCTGAAATGCAAAAGTTCATCTATGACTTAGTAGATTAGAACTTGGAATAAATACTTATAACAGAAACAGTTTATCCATGATACAGCTGAAATAGGAAACCTGACCACTGTTAGAAAAAAGTTTCAATGAGAAAAATGTGTTCTTTATGGTTTCAATCTCTAATCCTCCATCTTGAGGTGAGAGCTGGGCGGTGCACTACAGTGGTCTGGACGAGCTGGATTCCTGGGCAGAGGAAGGGGCAGCCGTGGCTTGTTTGTGAGTATGGCAGAAGGTAAGGAATTTGATTCAAGCTGGTAAAGAACAAGCGCCAGGGAGGAGAGAGGAGTTATTCGTCCTTTCCCCCTCCTCCTGGTATAAACAACAGGAAGCAAAGACCCTCTTGTTCCTTCCACGGCCTCCAGCTGCTCCTTTCAGCCAGCACACAGCTGACCCACAGGCGCCTCACTGGACTCTGCTCTAAAAGCAGGCACAGCATAAGATTTCTTCCTGAGATGTTTACTTGCCAAGAACAATGGCGACACAATCAAGAGCGGCATTTCTAGTCCCTGAGAGGTGGACGAAGGTGAAACTGCTGGCCTGCCAGACCTTTCTTTCCCGAGTTTCCTTCCAGCAGGAAGCCGGGGAGTGTTTATCCTAAAGCTCTCGGTTCTCAGGCCACCGCTGCCACCGCTGCCTCCTCAGTGTAAGTAAACTCAGTGAAAACATGCCACCGTGACCGCCAGATAAGCCTCACTCCAGAATCACCAGGAAGGAGGCTGAGGTGGGTTCACCTGCCCGGCACAGGTCAGGTCAGCCTGACACTATTCCCCTTCCCTTGAATCCTTTTTCTTCTTTCTGAGAATTTCACGTCTGCTGTGGCCTGAAGCAGATTCTCTTAGTCCTCTTTTGACCTCACAAATCTCCCTCTTCCTTCCGGACTGTCACTTGAAGGAGGTGTGTGCTTGCCTGCCTGGGGAGGAACTGCCAGCAATTCAAGGAATAAGCGTAAGTGGGAGAGAATGGATTGGTGCGCAAGCCGGGCGCCCTCACCAGAACTGGGGGAGGCCTGCAGGTAAAGACACTGTGGTCTCTTTTAGAAAGATTAGAAGAAAGAAAATTGGAGACCCATAAAAAATTAGTATCAGATGCAGATTCTGGGTGGTTTTTTTGGTTTAAAATAGTTTGACATGTAGACCTCAGGCTAAAACTGAAAAGCTCTATTTATTGAACTCCACAAACAAAAAATATTGGTAATAGGTTTAGAAGATAGATTTTAAAAAGGCAATTATGACTGCTGCCTGAATATTATGAAATATTTGACATACAAGCTATAAGCCAATAAGAGAAATAAACATTTTCTTGTTATGAATTTATATCATTTTCTTTAAAAAAAAATTAGATGCCAAGAAATTGACATCCACATAAAATTGATAAAACTTACCTGTTCAGCAAAAAATGAGAATACAGTAAACATAATCAATGTTGCTAGCACACAATGAGTCCAGAACTTCAATTTGTCTCGATACGCCCTCCTGTTCAGAGAAAAAAGAAAGCAAATATGTAGTTCTGTGTAGGGTTTAACTATCATTAGCTAGTAAAACTAACTATATAGTATTTACTAGTTTAGCAAACTATACTACCTTAACAGAAACAATGTTGTGAAACACAAAAACAATGATTGAAGGTAATTCTAAAATGTTAACATAATTATATATTTCCCATGTGAATTCAGATTTTTCATTGTTATAGTAAATATTTGAATCAGTAATAGTTCCAGCCAGCTTGGCAATGCTGGTCACCACACAGTGGCTTGAGCACCTAGCCTCCCCTGTCAACACTGCTGGACCGTTAAAATGCCTCTAACAGAGCTCCAGTGAAGCGCTTGCACTTCAGTTGTTAGTGGAAGCATCACCTAGCAGCTGCAAGCAGAATTTTGGGCCATGTCTCAAGTCTCATAGGTACTGAGCTTAGAACTGCTCTTTCTTGATGCTAAAAGAAGTTTTTGGAGCTAAGATCTTCATGTCTGCTATTCAAACTGATGTTAGAGTGTGTGCAATTTGACTGTCAAATTGAATTAGGGCTTCCCTGGTGGTTCAGTCGGTAAATCTGCCTGCAATGCGGAAGACCTGGGTTCGATCCCTGGGTTGGGAAGATCCCCTGGAGGAGGGCATGGCAACACACTCCAGTATTCTTGCCTGGAGAATCCCCATGGACAGAGGGACCTGGTGGGCTGCAGTCCACGGGGTCACAAAGAATCGGACACGACTGAGCGACTAAGCACAGCACAGCACATTTATCCACGCAGTCACCCAGTAAACACTTCCTGTGGATAGACAGGTGATGAGGAGAGGTCCCTGCTCTAAAGCACCTGTGAACCTGGGGAGGTGCTGATGTGCAGATAACCAGCCACCACACAAGGCGGACAGAAATATCTATTATCAGAAGCAGTCTTGCAGAGAAGCAGTGAAATGAGGAATGCATCAAACAGATGGTGACAGTTCATTTAAGCCTTGGAGTGGGGCAGAAAAGCCTGTGGCTGAGAAAGGGGAGGAGCATGAGCAGAGCGGCAGCCCAGGTCCCGCAGAGCTGAGTCCAGTCTGGCCTGGAGGACACAGGGGTGCACAGCCAAGAAAAAGCGGTGGCTGTGGACTGCAGTTGTTCTGGAAAACCACACACGGTGGGTTGGACACAGTGCTCTAATGCGTGTGTGTGTGTGCACATGTGTGTCACAATCGGGGTGGCTATTTGAAGGATGGATGTCCTAAGCAGGTGACCAGAGGCAGGCAGTCCCGTTAGTCCAGGCAAAGGAAAGGATGAGGGCTGGATGAGGGCAGCGAGGGTGGAAGGGAACAAGCAACATACGAGACACTAAGGATGGAATCAGACTAGGTGGGAGGGTATTAAGGATAAAGGCGGGGCGGGGTGGGGGGGGGCGGCGCATGGGGAAGTATGGCAGGTTTCGCCTCTGTAATTTGGAAATAATAACTTTTTATGAAGATTAAATAAATGCTTAACATAAGGCAGAGTCAGTCACAGCTGTCTGGTAGGCGGTGTCTGTATCCCAAGTCACATATTCAAAATGGTACCCTCTCCTATACTGTTCTTCCTCCTGTGTTTCCTGCATTAAGAGGATCAACAAGCAGCTCAGAGAAGAAATCACATCACTTCTATTCCTGTAACTCTCATCTCTCTGTGGCAGTCAGGGCAGCACTTTTCATTGTAATAGTAAATACACTGCCCAGCACAGTGCTGGCTAAGAAACTGGGAAGCCACTCAGATGGCAGTGATGACGAATAAGGCTCAGCAGATGTACCTGACCAGTTAGATCAATAAAAACTATACCTGTCTTTTTACAAAGAAATTAGCGAAAATAACAGTAAAGAAACTTCATCACTCTAAAAAAGAAAAACATACATGTATGTGAAACATGAACACTTACCATTCCTGCAGCTCATGCATATGAAGGAAACGGTTTCGATACTCCCTTGGCAGCTCAAACTGGGATGGGATGGGGAACATGGATTCGTAGAAGTCCCTGAGAACAGCCTTCACTGTCTGGGCATCTTTATGATTGTGGTCAATGTTGTCATTCAGACAGACGAACTTCCTGGAGACAACAGAGACCCAGGGTTGTTATTGGTTCTTATGAGGATGATCCTTACCTAACAAAACAAGAAGTGTGGATTTGGAATATGTTTAAATGGACTTGTGTCCCAAGTTGTGGCATTTACTGATAATGATTCTCTGGGGGAATAACAGTCTGTAGAATTTTTCTTTAGGTATTTCTCTCCTGTAAAACAAAAAGAACTAGGGATGATAGATAATTTTGAATATGCCTTCTAGCTATAGGAGTAAATTATTTTAATTGCTGTTTGGGGTTGGCACGTGCCCAGTTTAGGGTTAACTGACTGAAGTGTTCTGTTACCATCCAGGGAAAAAACTAGTAAGTGCCTACAACTGAGTTCTCTGAACTGACAGAGTTACATTACTAAGAACAGTCATGTAGATAGCTGAGATAGAGATGGTTCCTTATAGATACAGATTTTATGATGTTGATGACTTCTTAATATTGACATGTCTCCAACTAGGCTGTATGATGAGTTTCAGCAAAAAGTAGATTACAGTGGTGCTTCCCAACTTGTTTCAAGTTCCTTCAAGGCAAAAGTCAATAAGTTGAGGGCACATAAAATGGTCGGTAGAGATAACACCACTTTTGAATTACATCTAAATTTTGTTTTTACAATTTTATCAAGTATAATAAAGCCCTCAGATCCTACCACCAACTTAACAGGAAATACAGAAGACACGGGAACACATTAGATAACTGGGAGACAATCAGAAATGTCCAAGGTTCAGGAAATCTACAGAATATATAATCTGATTTCTTCATGTGCATGCATTCTAAGTTGTTTCAGTTGTGTTGGACTTTGTGACCCTATGGACTGTGGCCTGCCAGGCTCTTTGGTCCGTGGGATTCTCCAGGCAAGAATATTGGAGTGGGTTGCCCAGGCCTTCATCCAGGGGATCTTCCTGACCCAGGGATCGAACCTGTGTCTCTTACGTCTCCTGCACTGGCAGACAGCTCTATACCAATGCACATGCAAAAGTGTATATGGATTAAAAAAAGAGAGAGAGATGAGGGAACCTATAGACATAATTGCAATGAATGTACTTGATACCATTTCAAGTCAACAAAGTTAAAAACGTAAATGCTTTTAAAGAAAGACAATGGGGGAAAAATGTGTACAGAGGCCAGAGGGGTTATCATGTTAAGGAATAAATAATGGTATTGTGGTTATTTTCAAAAAATCCTTTTAATTTAGAGATATATACTGAAAATTTTACCGAAAAAAAACCCAGGATACTTTTACTTTAAAATAACTGGGAAGTGCTAGTGAAGGAGTGGGTGTGTTCAGATGAAACCAGATCAACCAGTTGCTTCTTACTGAAGACAAGTGATGAGTGAGTGAAAGTTCATGGCCCTATGTCTTCTTTAAACTTGAGGAATGCTTTTGGTTAAAGGATATTAAAGAGTTATGTCCACCAGATACAGTGCAGGAGCCCTGACTGTTTCCTAAACTAAAAACAAACAGCTAAAAAGGGCCTTTGGAGGTAACTCGGGAAATCTGAGTATAGACCATCTATTAGATGGTATTATTTAGTTGGTGTTAAGGTTTTTGGATATGTGTGAACAGTCATATGGTATAAACGAGAATGACTTTGTTTAGAAGACCTATGCTATGATAATGAGGGTAAATTTGGGTGTTGTTGTCTGCAACTAATTTTCAAATGGTCCCGCAAACAAAAGAAAAACCAAACCTGTGTTTGTCTGTCTGTATAGAGAGATGAAGCGAGAGATCAGACAGATGTAACAAAACACTAAAAATTTAAGAGTCTGAATTTATTGTACTATTTTTTTCAGTCTTTCTGTATCTTCAAAATTTTTCCAACAGTTGGGAGAATGTAAAGAAGAAAAGTATGTGTATGAGACAGAGAGACTGTGTGGATATGGGGTAACCAGAGCAGACCATGCGGGGTGCCCAGCACACACTCCCTCTCTTGCCCAAGAGAACCTGCACTTTGTTCAGTATTTCTCCCGCTGTGAACTGACTCAAAGGGAGGCACGCTCACCCGACCCGGAGTCAGCTTCTGGCTCTGTGAGTCCCCGCTTCACAGAGACTGGTGAGGAGCTGAGGGCGGGGCGGCCCCTGCCGCCTCAGGACACCGCTGTGTCTGCAGAGACGTGAGAAGGTGGCGCGGGCCTGCCTCCAACCTGGGGACGCAGCGACGCGGAGGGCGCAGGGCCCAGATACTGCGGTCTGTCCCGGACTCCCTGTCCATGCGCTAAACCTGTCCTTCACCGCCGACCTTAAAGTGGGCCTCGGAAAAGTGAAACCGAAGAGCTACTAATGATGACATCTATTCAGGGTCATGGGAGGGATCTGAGCCGAGTAGACAATGCTGGAAAAGCCTGTCTTGACTTGGATCTTCTTAGCAAAACCCGAACCCTTTAAGTTACATGAAGATGTCTGAATTTTCTCACCCAATGACTTTTAAAGTAGCACAGGACATGAAAGTATAGGGTACAACTAGAAACACTAAGTTCTCACTTGGTTTTACTACAGATAACCTGTGACTGAGCCAGCACATTAACAGGATGGGGGGAGCAAAAAGCAAGTATCAAATTGGCTCTTAGTTTTTAAAAAACGAGAGCAGGGCATTCTGAACTGAGGGAAGAGCATACGCTGGGTGGCTCTTAATTATTATGACTTATTGTTTTCTTAGCTTGTGGGAAATGTTATTTTGTAGGAAATAAAATATTTTATGAATACAGTATGTAAGTATTAAAAAACATTTTCATTTTTCTTAAAATTCTGTATGTCTCCCCCCCCCAAAAAAAACAAGAATGAAATTTTAAGGAAAAATTCCCTGGCTTTAAAATGCCTGGGAATTTTACACTTCTGATCATGTATAATTAAAATCATAATGTAAATGAGGTGCAACTGAAAACTTCCAAAAGCATTTAAAAGACTCAGATGAAAACATTCAACTTCACATACCAATGTTCTTTTCTCGAGAAACTACTTCTATTTCCCACTGAAATTCAAAACTCAGAATGTAGATTTTAACCAATTTTATCAAACTAGGGCAACTGTTGGAGGCGAGGCTGGAAATTTTCAGGGCTATGTAAAGCTGAACACTTCATTCATTTCCAAAGAATGACTGCAGTTTGCTAGATTAATTTTCACAACTATGGTAGCATTCCTTTTTCCTCAGAAGCTAATTTGAACTTTCCTTTGAATTGCAAAGACAGGTCTAATCACCACAACAACTTCTCTGGAAGCTCCTATTTCTAAAAATAGAAATCTATTTTCTTTAACAGAATTTTTTTTTTTTTTTTACTATAACAGAAATAGCAAAATAGAAATTTCTAAGAGTCCCAGTCATGTGGCCTCACCTCCCCCGCAACACAGTAAACCCTGAGCCTCTCTGAACAGTCATGTCGCTGGACTCAGAGATATCCATGCTGATCCCAACTCACAGCCCCCATCTCTTAATTCAGACATTACCACCACCATTAGAGGTTTCTGTCTGCTCCAAACAGAACTAAGGCACGCCTTTCTCTCCAGAACTGCTGCCTTCTATTTCATGTTGACTTGCATCATTAAAGATATTTTCAAAGTTAAGGGAATTCTCTGTCCATTCGATTCAATTGTGCTATGAACCTAAAATGTTCTAAATTCAAAACAGAACAGTACCTGGGGTTTTTTCTTATATCATCCAACTGGCCAACTACATGAGAAACGTTGGTACGAATCATCTTAAAAGCAATTTCTTCTTCTCCCATGATTTCAAACCTAATTATCAAAACATAATGAGTGAAAATATGTATATGAATGTGTAAAACAAAATTTCAATAAAGTTTTATAAGACTTTAAAGAACTCAACATTCTCAGGATGGCTTAACCTTTCCATATTATTAAAGATAACAATCACACATAATTTTCAAAGAATGCTTGGTAGATAACTATGGCAAGATTATGAAAATACCACATTCATAATTACTCTTAAACAAAGAGAAAATGCATACAGTACTCACCTGTATTTGTTTTTGTCCTTATATGCTTTGTGGATCTTATCAGTTACTGGTTTACAGTTGGTTACTAGACTTTTTGTGACTGGTGGCTATGAGAAAATACAGACATTACATCAGCCTGGGGTGAGGCAAGGGAAGCATTCATCTCAACTGTAAGTTTTAAGGGGCATGAAAAGATGAACCAAGATGAATGAGTAATCAAGATGAGTATTTTAATGCAATATTTTAAAAAAATCAAATTGGCATACTATGGCTCACATACCAATTGTCTATTTTTTAAATAAAGTTTTAATCACATATTACTATAGTCTTCTGAGTTATAATTTTTTCAGAAGGAAAATAAATTTCTAACAAACTGTAATGGACTGGTCTATACAATACTCATAGGCTAAGCTATCATTCTTACAGTCTAATTAGAAAATACTTTATCCTGTGTGTAACCACAGGTAATTACAGAAATGAAGCCAACATCTGGCTAAGAGTTCACTCAAGTAATATCAACTAACGCTGCCACTGTGACTAGTGCTTGTACTTTAAACAGCTGATATGCATGAACCTCAAGACTGACTTTGGAGAAGGAAATGGCGACCCACTCTGGTACTCTTGCCTGGAGAATCCCAGGGACGGGGGAGCCTGGTGGGCTGCCGTCTATGGGGTCGCGCAGAGTCGGACACGACTGAAGCGACTTAGCAGCAGCAAGACTGAGTTGAGCAAAGCAGCGCCTATTTAATTCTTAGCATTCAAAGGATATTTGCTGATTGTAAACCTTATGCCGGATTATTTGGTAAAATAATAAAATACTCTGCTCATAAATGAAGATATATTTATTTCTTAAAAAAAAAAAAAAACCCAACACGCTAAAATCCCTCAAAAATTTTTCATCATGCCTATAAAATGGCAAGATGAATAACTGCATAGATCATCTTCCTTAGAAAAGAATATGCTTCTGTAAATTCTATATAAGTACAGGGGATTGGCAATTGTACAGTCTTACTCGGAAGCCAAAGTTTATAGAGAAGGAAAGAAAGAAAAAGTGAAAAGATGGATGTGGAAATAAAAGGTGATGAAAAGACAAGTTTGGAGTGAGTGCCAAAGCAGGCTAGACCTGGGGTGACTTCAGTGGCCTCTAGGGCAACCTGTGAACACAATCTCACTGTCCTCAGGACCACGAGAGGCCTGGTCCGGGGAGAGGCTGAGGGGCCATGGTTTAGGAGCCCGGCACACTTCCTCCTCTGGTCAGTGCTCTGGGATTGCCCACCAAGAAGATACCAGAAGGGACAAATCGGGACAGCCTGGAACTCATGGCTCCCTGTCCCTCTCCTGGGAAAAGGGTGTACCCAGATCTTTGAGAGAACTTCAGTTATCTTGACACATAATAAAGGGTGTTTTTAAACCAGGACATTGACGTCCAGATGATTCAGAGTTGATTACATTATCTTTGTTGGGGGTAATTCCAAATTTGGGGAAAACAGAAAAAAACTATCACTGTTTGAAAGGATGTCTTTTAGTCTACACAACCTAATTTCTTTTTTTAAACTGTGATTCTGTTCTCTCAGGAGGCAGGGAAAACACCTACAATGATTACAAATGTGCCTTTTTAATCTTTAAGAACACACTTGTGAAGAACTACTGACGTGTGTTAACAGTCTGGGTTTTACAGAGCACTTTTCACCGTATGGGCCTAACATCCCGGACAAGCTGCTGTGCCTCATGAGACAAGCTGCTGATCTGTTATCAGCCAGGCCTCCCAAGAGCCCACAACCAGAGCCAGTCTCAGACTCTGGCTGCTGATTCTTGCCTGCTCACCCCACTACAGCAGACTCCCTTAGGCTGACACCAGGTCTTACACCTCATCTCAGTTTTATTGATTTCATAGTTTAGAATCTTTATAAAAGAGACCTGGCTTTCAGTGACACATATCTATACACCAACCTGTGTCACACGCTGGACTAGCCAACACACAACCAGCAATACGTATAGTTTGTCTGCATATTCCAGGAGCTGTCAAGGCGCCCCTCACATGTCTCCGCGTGGGTGGGCTTCCCCAGGCCCTGAGAACACGAGTGAGAAACACCATCCCTGCTGTGTGCAGTGAGTGCTGAACGAATGCCGGCCTTCTTTCAGAAACCAGACTTGTAACTGATTCATTACTCTTCTCTACATTCATTTACAAACATCTTGTCTCCAGAGAATTATAGCGCTTGAACATTTGCAAGGTGGTCAGTTTTTAAGAACACATGTTATTTTGGACTTCCCTGGTGGTCCAGTGGCTAAGATTCCCATGCTCCCAACACAGGGGATGCAGGTTCAATGCCTGGTTGGGGAACTAAGATCCTGCATGCTATGTGACCAAATACAATTTTCAAGATTAAAAAAGAAAAGAAGAATTACTTAGGTTTGAAAAAACATTTTTTTGATTATGAAAGTTATCTATTCATTACAGAAAATATGAAAATACTAGTGTGAAAAAAGATATTAAGAACTACCAGTAAAAAAAAACAAGCCAGGTAGAAAAGACTATATGATTTTAAAAGAAAACTACCTATGATTTAACCCACCACCTATTTTGAAAACATTTTTTCCATATGTGTATATATGTGAGTGTGTGTGTGTGTGTGTGTATACATACATACATACATACATATATATATATGTATCAGTAAAATTAAGCATCACATAAATGGCTGTATTATATCCTTGTTTCATCAATTCTAAATGCATTTTTTTTTTTTTACATTATCATTTCTTTGAAACTGGGATTCATCTTAGAATCAACAAAGTCTTCCAACCATTTCAGCCAAGTGGTACTCTAATACACTAGTGTGCAGATCATCTACTGCCCCTACTGGTAAGATCCAGAAAGTGCCATCATCAAAGCAACTTAGCTTTGAGGAAAGAAGGGGTTCAATTTCATGAGTAGGCCAGAATACTGGAGTGGGTATCCTTTCTCTTCTCCAGGGGATTTTCCCGACCCAGGAATCAAACCGGGGTCTCCTGCATTGCAGGCAGATTCTTTACCAACTGAGCTATCAGGAAAGCCTGACTATTTCCTTGGTTAATGTTTAACAGGATTGCTCTCCTGAGGTTACCTTCTGCCATCCTTAGTAAATGGCTGTCTGCTTACAGAATATAAGCAACTAATCTCAAAATTAGCTTAACATCCATTAGGGAGGACAAAAAGATATTCCAAAGGAAAATATAAATTATTCTAGATTATCAGTGCTACTGATTTCTACCAGAGACCTATAAACACAGAGCCAGCTTCTAGTTTTTCAAGTGTTGTACAGAAATGGCAGTAACACCCAATACGGATGGACTCTATTTTACATAAATGAACCCACATCACTCACCAGATTCGGATCATAGTACGCTTCCTGAGTTGGCGGGATGCTGTTTAGCTGAGTGATATTAGCAGGAAGCATTTTCGAACAATTTATTAACATGTGTTCCAGACCTGTTAAATCCTAACAAAGCAAAAATAAAAGGATAAACCTTCTAGATACAAGTAATGATTGTGGTTTTAAAAATATGTTGAAGTCACTAAAGTGTAAGTGCTACCTTCAAAGGGAGTCTGACTGTATGATTCTTAAAGAGCAGAATGAGACAGTACAAACAACTCATCTTTGCCTCAGAGTGGAACGTACAGGACCGGGAGGCCCCACTGATACCAGGTGAGCCAGGGGTCAGCAGATGGGTGTCCTACAGCTGGAATCCTCTTGGTGCTCTTTATCCCTGAGTGTCCCACTCCTGGGACTAGAGGATGCCAAGGCAGAGAGGACTCTGCAACACCACGGGTCTGGCTGAGGGCTCCACTCAGCCACATCTGAAGCCCTTGAATGAACCTGTCACAAGAATCTTATATGCAGTTATGATCTGCTTCTCCTCCACACAATACCATAGCAATCCCTAATGAAAGTCTTTAAAAAAAGTCATCCTATAAAACAGAAACTGCAAAGTTGATTTTAATACTGGCATTAAAAATGGACTAGTTGTGAATACCCTCATTTACTTGTACTTGCATTACACTGAAGTATGCAGGGGAAAGAGAAAGTATCAAATTTAAAAGTTTCATTTAAAATGTCACAAAATTTAGGGGGGATGGGGATAAAATTACAGTACCTGCAAACTTAAAGGCAAGTCATGAATTCTGGTGGCCAGCGTGCGGATTTCTCTGTCAGACAGGACGCCAGATTGGTCTGTATCAACTTCATCAAAAACTTGAGATATGTTCAGCGGCTGAACTGCACTCATGAGATAATAAAAATAAGAGAAGGCAAACTGCATGTCCTCGGAGTGGCGCACTTTGTGAAATGACGTCTTGTCAAATTCTTCAGGGAACCTGTCCAAATGTAACACATGGTGAGATCTGGATACTTACGATATATGTGGTACCTGACACTTGTGGCATCAGGATCTTACTTCCCTCCTGCTGAGATAATACTAGTCATCAAGTGTCAGAGCCACAGATGCAGGATAGCGAGGATGTGAACTTCAAGCCCCCCTGGCTGAGCACAAGCAGAACATTCAGATGTAAGTGAGACTTACATGTCTTGCAGTTCCTGCATCACGATTCGGTCGATCATGTGAGGCATGTGTGCAGGGACTTTCCGAGACGTGAATCCAAACTTGCTGTTTAGAATTTTGTTCACGTATCGGAGGGAATCGGCGAATGTGTCTTTTAGCTGCCTCCCCGTGTACCTGCTGTCAGTAAAGTAGGCCAGCTGGGTCTTCAGCGACTCTTCTTCCTGAAAGGAGCATCCCACCCAGCACAGTGTTACATTTACTGCACAAGTGCCCTGTGTTAACAAGAGACGGGGGTACTACTTCATGTAGCGTGGAAGTAACTAGTCACTGTCGAGTGGGGAAAATGAACTGAGCACTAAACAGGTCTCCTTCTGCATCTGAGACCAGGCCTGACCTGGCCGAGTTCAGTCAAAGTGTCGCAGACTACAGCTGTTTACAGGGTTTTCTTCAGGGACTAGTCATTGACTGTGAGATTTCACAGCCCATTTCAATGCAACGTTTAGAAAATCGATTTACAGTCCATTTGAGAGTGCTTTCAATATGAAGTTATTTCTACTGGCAAAATCAAAGAAACAAGGACTTGAGTTTTGGAGACACAGGCTAGAATACCAAACTGGTTTCACCATATAACAGTGTTAATATTATGAAATGTCAAGAGCCCTATCAAAACCACTAAGAGGTGAAACTGAATGGGCAAAGAACCTGAACACACTTTACAGAAGATGAAATATTTTTCCTTCTCAAACTGATGAGAATATAGATGGATATTAACTGCTGTTGGTTAGTCTGTGGAGAAACATGCAGGCCTGCACACTGCTTGTCAAAGGAGGAAGGGGTGCAACATAAAAGGACATATTTAAGTTTTATACACACTAGACCCTTTAACCCAGCAATTCTACCTATAGAAATAAAGCTTTCCGCAAGAGTAAGACATATGTACAAGAATATTTATTGCAACATTAGGTATCTGTAATTGCAAAACACTGGAAACAACTTACAGCTGTTAAAAAACAATGACAGTTTGCCCACATACTACCACATCAAAGGTGACTGCGGAGCAGTGTATGTATAACTTCACTGTTCCAAAACAAACTATGTAGTTTATACATCTAATAGAAAAATACTTGAAGAATACCCACCAAGCTACATATTCATAGTGACTGTCTCAAGTAAGGAGATTAAGGAAGGAAGGAGGAGACCTTTTCCTTTTTTACTGCTTTTTTTTTTTTTCCTGCATTGCTTCAATTTTTACAAGTTTATAGTGCTTCTGCAATTCAGAAAAAAGGATGGTAGTGGTGGTGAGGAAATCAACGCAGGCAAGAACTCTGCAGCCCCTCACTCAACCACTAGTAAATGCTACCCTGTTGGGGACAAAAAACACCCTGGAGACAATGAAAGGAATGAAACTGCATCCCCTTCACCACTCTCCTCCAATCTAGCATCTACCCAGGCTATGCTCTATTCATGACCCAGCCTAGACCACAAGTCTGTTGACTCCTCCCCACTTTTCAAAGGTCCCACACTTCAACGGATCCTTATCACAAGGCCACAGCTCTGGCCTCCCCGCTTGCTCTGTGCATCTCTAAGAGCACCGACCCTACCGACCATCCTGTGCTCCCGGGCGTCAGCAGAGGGATGGCGCTCCTGAGATGCACACAGGACCCCCGGGCACCGTGAAGGCTGCGGGACAGGAGGGGGAGCTCTGAGGATCCGCTCACACTCACCTGCTGTCGTGACATCGGGAAAGCTAACCATTTGTCTGCATCTCAGGCTTTCCGTTATTGGAAAAGTATGCGATCTGACTGCACAAGGTATGCAAGAGTGGTTTTTAAAATAACATGCCAAGTGAAGATAAGATACCATCGCTGCTCTGCTAGGAACTCGGGGTATGCCCCTGGCTGAGCTCTTACTCACTCACACAAAGGCTGCTTCTGAAACTGCAAAATGGAGACAACCATAGCAGAGAGCCTTACAAGGTATTTTTATTGTTAGAATTATTGGGAAGATTCCGGGAGGAGGAAATGGCAACCCACTCCAGTATTCTTGCCCATGGACAGAGGAGTCTGGCGGGCTACTGTCCGTGGGCTCACAAAGAGCTGGACACGACTGAAGCAACTTAGCCACATGTAAGAAAAACGCTGAGTTCGGTGGCGGGTACTGGGAAGTTCTGGATTAACGGTAGCTATTACTTTATCACCACCACTAACAAGCTTACTTTTTTCCTGAGCATGGGAAGGAATAAGGCTGCATGTAACTTACATCAAGCAGATCTTGGAAATACTTTTTCTTCTCCCATGGCAAAAAGCCCAGGTAACTGTCTGTGTATTGCTGCAGTTTTCTTCCAGGTACGGCTTCATTGCCACCAGGGTAACTGTTGGCATTTCCCTCAGTTTTTTTCTCTTGTTCTTTCCCTGTGATGACCTTTTCCTGTGCGTCCTTGCTTTCCAGTGGGAAAGTCAGAGATGAGAGCTTTTCTCTTGACACATTTCTGCCTCCTACTGTTGGAGCCATGGTTATTGACCTGAATCTTGCTTCCAGGGGTGGAATCTGGCTCTGGGGGTGGCCGTTCACTGTCACCGCTGGAAAAGGCGATGACCCCTGGAGTCTTTCAGGTGTTCCTAAGTTGCTTGGTAGGATGCTTTTGTGAACCTGTTTTGCCAGTGGGGCCTCCAAACCGCCATTTCTTTGCTCTGTTGTTAGAGGGTGATTTACTGTTAACTTTCCATTTTGTGGGTTCATCAGAAAGGACCTCAGCAAGGCTGACTTGGACAGGTTGTATCCTTTCATGGTGATGTCTCCACGTTCTAGTTGCAAATCCAAGTTATTAAGGCTCATCTGGGTCTCTTTTGGAAGGAGTGAAATATTGACCTGCGGAATTTCCACCTCCACTTGGAATCTTCTTGTTGTGTTCACATCGTGTCTCTTGACCTTAGGGAAGCGTTTTTCTTCGGGGATATCCTCAAACAAGATTTCCGCCTCTGGAAGAAGTGTTGTGGAGCTCACCAAACTTTGGTGAGCCTTCTGGGTCGTAGAATTCCTTTTGGGTTCCTCCCTCGTGTCAACCTCTACTACTATCTGGATTTTGAACTCCTCGTCATTTTTACCTTGAAGGGTGAGATTAAAATGTATTGTGGTCGCGTTCATTCCACTGTGCATTAGGAGGTGGATGGTTTTCCACTTATTGGCGATAGAAGCATGTCGGATGATTGGGTTGTCACTATACGCACCTTCGATCCCCTTTTTGGCTATTTCTGCAAAGCTGAAATAAGGCAGGCATTCACCTTTTGGAATAACATAGTGAGTCTGGTTTGGGAGAAGAGTTACTTTATACAATTCATGAAAATGATCTAGAGGAAAAAACACAAACATGACTTTAAAAAAAAAACTACACATTTTCCCCCTTTTCCTTTAATTCTTAGGATCTGAGTTTTCACTTTCTAAGAGTGACTTTAAAATAATCAGAAATTCTACCACAAAAGCTATTGGCCTAGGGCTCTTTTGTACTTTCTGAAGCTATCACTATCACTGACATGGAATGCTAGGGCTGGTTTACTACCGGGGTACAACATGATTCTGGACAGCAAGTTCCAATGGTCAACCTCTATCCTTTTGTCCATTCGAAAAAAATAACTTTCTACTAAAAGGACCTTCGTTAATAATCCAGCAACAAGATCCAGTATTCTACCATGCTTATTTAATCAACCACTGGTCTCCTTTTATTGTTCCCCAATTAAACCTTCACTGTATATTTTCAACTAAGATAAATCTGCTTAGTTTAGGGAAAAAAGCAGACTAGAGCCAAAACAGGAACAGATGCAGCTTCAGTGTCTATGGCTTTCTAAAGATCTGTGTCCTTCTCTTGTAACTCACAACTCATTTGGATTTCAGGCTGGGAAAGGGCTACCTAGAGAATAATTAAATAATAAAAGTGATCCAAACACCCTCTATTTATCAAGGACTGTTATCCCCTTATTCTAAATATGTTTTCATGGCAGTAAATATACCTTGCCCACAGTCGCCAGCATCGAACCCACAGGATAAGACATTGCAGGCTTGGTCACAGAACTTATCGGCCAACCAGGAATTTGCACATCCTTGATTACAGTAAGAGACGCCGGTCATTCCAGCACCAAAATGCCAGGGCTGTCCGACTCCGATACTTCCGGTGCCCCCAGCTCCTGCGATATAGCGGCTGGAACCACTGTTACCTGGAGGAGGAGAGAATCCTGTGGTGCTTACAATCTCGGGAAAAAAAGACAGCTCCTAGTTCTCAATCAAGACTGATGCATGAATTTCTACCAGGAAAGGTTCACCCTGTTCTTCAATAGAAGATTTTATGTAGCTTAAAAAGAGACCACCTAAAAAGGGGTATCAGCTGACAGTGGACTGGTGTGGGATGATCAGGCCTTGGGTATGCTCCTGGGGACACATGCAGACGTGTCCAGAGAAGCACATGATGTTGAACACTGGGACTCTGAGGACGGACAAGAGCACGTCCTGACGCAGGCGCCAGCCCCCTGCCCGAGCATCACCGCTCTGCGAGAGGTCGAGCTCTGCGGACGGCACAGGCCCTCCTGCGAGGCGGCATTCTCTGCCTGCAGCAGTGTATACTTTTCCAAAGTGCCTCTGACAGATCTGACTGAAGCACAGAGCTTTGTCTCTTCCAATACCCTTCACTTTCCTACACCTGCTTCCTCACATGCACTAGGGGGATGGCAGTATCTGCACCTACTCTCTTTTCCTCTGGTGGCTGAGAAATTTAAGTGGATACTGGAGGATGCTTTCTAAGTTTAAAGGCTTTATAAGCTGACAGGCAATAAATAAAGATAAAAACTTGTTTCCTTGACAAGTCCAAATATCAGTGTACAAGACAGGAAGGAGAGGTGTTAAGTAGATGAGATTATTCATTTCTTCCGCGTGTCTTTAGTCGTCGCTGACCTGGAGCAATCTGCTGACAGCCACTGGCCATGAACTCCTACAAAAACCAGTGAGAGTGAGGGACTCTTGCTCTTGAGCTCACATATTTAAGGGTAGGACCGATTCTCATATTTTTGAATAATAAAATGCATTTGCAAGTGCAGGGTGAACATGGGAAATTGCCCCCAACAATGATAACATGAATAAACTAGGTCACGGGTCCAAGAATGATGACAAATGAAAAAAAATTCCAACAACATAGACAAGTTACACCTGAACACATCCTCACCAGAGCAGTCACCACCGTCCCAATCACAGGCTGAATTATTACAAGCCTTGTCACAATAGCCGTCTTTAATCCAGGATCCTGGGCAGCCCTCAGCGCAGTTGGGCACAGGCCATGTCAAATAAACCTAGGATAAAGCCAGAGAGAAAATAAAGTGGTTTCTGACTTCTGACACTTATTATTCTTAAGCTAGAATTCCTTTAAAAGAAAAATAAAGCAAATGGAGCCCGGAGAAAGGGCCACCCTGTGGTGGTTTCTGGGTCCCGCCCTGCCGACGGGTCTCAGCCGGCACAGTCCCTCTTTTCTGACTGGAGGAAAGCAGACGAGGGCCCGGCTTACAGGTTCAGTCTCACAACACGGGCTTATAAATAATCTGCTGTTAGATAGAGCAGCAACACGCCAGACCCAAGTCCAAGTCCAACAGCGTGCAGGTGGGAAGTCTGCAAGAAGCCACTGCTCTTCCCTGATGCTGCTGTCAGGTCCTGATGGATCCAATCCATGGACTGTCTCATCTCAAGGCTGAAAAGGGGCGCGGACGACCTCTCAGTGTCCTTACCTCCACCCATGAGGTCGTGATGAGTAATCCACACAGCATCTTGAGCTGTGAACAACTCTGCTTTCCAAACAACTGACAAGCTACATGCGTGGTATGTGGTCAGTTGCTCAGTCATATCAGACTCTCTGCAACCCCATGGGCTGTAGCCCGACAGGCTCCTCTGTCCATGGAATGTTCCAGGCAAGAATACTGGAGTGGGCTGCCATTTCCTGCCCCAGGGGATCTTCCCAAGCCAGGGATCAAACTCTCATCTCTTGTGTCTCCTGCATTGGCAGGAAGGTTTTTTACCATTGCGCCACCTGGGAAGCCCTGACTTGCTATATGGTTACTTCCTAACATTTTTGAAAACTTTTAACATCTCTACATCTTTGCACTGTCCAGCTATTTGGAAGGGCTTTCTTCATCTGGTTAACTCTTTACTTGCTTTTCCAAGCTCATCTCACTCCCAAGATGGTGATGCCTACACAGCTGACACCTATAACATCTGTGCTCAGGACCGCTTTTTCCATCCTGCCCCTCAAAGCCAGAGTGAGACCGGCTGCCTTCAGTGACACTTCATCCATGTCGTTAAAGCACTACGTTGAGCTAAATTTGCCTTGAGCGTTTTGCTGACATGGTGAGCACAATAATTTCCCAGGGATTTTGCTTTTCCTGCTGTTGCAGCAGCAGAAGACATAGAGGGTGGGTTTGGGTGTTGAGAGCATAAGGAAGCAAAGTTCCTGCCGTAGGAACTTTTCGCACTCCCTGATTGTTACCTCTCCTGAGCTTAGCACTCAAAAATGCTCATTTGGACAAATCTGAATATGATATATACACTGATTTCCCTATGTCCCATCTACAACTTCTAAGTGATTCCTAAACCAGGCACCTCTTAGCTACTCACCTTCTGACCTTTGGAATGACTGTAGAAATCATCTGGCCAGACATCCTTCCCGAACATGACATCATCATTCAGGTAAATGAACTTCTGGGACAGCCCTTCGATGCGATGGATGTGACTTTCAATAGCAGGTGAACTGAAGGTGGGTAAGTGGCTCAGATTTCGAAAAACATCCTTTTAACAGACACAAAACAAACAAGACAGAAGAAGGGGAGTGAGAAGGGAGTTTTGTTTTGTTTTTGGAAAGAAATTAGGGAGGTGAATGGAAGGATTAAAGGAAGGTGGATGTGGAGGAGAATAAAGTCGGCGGATGAAATGAGGGACCAGACAAAGAAATGGAGAAGACGGAACAGGAAACTGCAGCCTTGTGACACATGGCAAGTCTCTACCTGGTGCGTGACTATCGTCACTCGGGGATTATCGAGGTTCAGCCAGGATGGAATCTGCCCGTTGGTGACAATGAAAATGTTGCGAACCCACGGTGCGTGCCTCTCGATAGATCGCAGCGAGTACCTCAACTCTTCATTATCTTCAAAACGGCTGGCAGAGACATCCTCATCCTGCTTAGACTGAGAAGAGCATGGGGCACAGAAAAATATAAAATACCCCTAAGTCACACTGCCCCTCCTGACTGTCCCCTCTGTCCTCAGGGAACTCCAGCAAACTTTCAAAGACTGCATCCAGCTTTTAAACCTTAAAAATAATGCAAAACACTTAGCATATTTAAAACAACACAAAAACAGCATTTCTTTCATACACCTTTTTAAAGAAAAGGTTCTTGGCTCTGAATGTGGGTCATTTCAATTAGTTATTAACCAGTGGCAGTGACAGGGAATCAAGTCACTCCTCTGTAAGCCCACTTCCTTCTTCTAATATGCCCGTGTGTGCTCACTCATGTCCAGCGCTCCGCAACCCCATGGACTGGAGCCCTCCCGGCTCCTCTGTCCCTGGAATTCTCCAGGCAAGAATACTAGAATGGGTTGTCATTTTTCTCCTCCAGGGGATCTTCCCAACTCAGAGACTGAACCCACATCTCCTGCATTGGTAGGCAGATTCTTTACCATGAGCCAGCTGCGAAGCTCTCTTCTAATACAATGACTGATAAATCTTTAATAATCAAAACCCTCAGTTTGGGTTCTAAAAGAATCTATGCATTCCTTACCTGGCTGATGGCACTCAGATCCCATAATAAATATGCAGGACTTATGGTCAGTTCCTTTCCATTGATGGTCATATTCTTCTTCGTCTGCTTATTCAGTTCTTGGAAATCTTTGGGATTATTCAACTTTAGAAGTGCTCCACTGGCCTCTGAATACAACTGCAACTATAAAATAATAGGAGAGTTACATGTGGGGAACTGAACAACAAAGACACCTTTAAATTCCCAGTTGATCCTTGATCTTAAATATAAATAACATGCTATATATACTACATATTGTGTACTAACTATACTATGTGCTGTTTATTGTACCCATTAAATATATACTGCATATATTTAAAAGATTAAAAGTTTCATATACATATTTGAAACAGCAAGCCAGTATTGCGGAGAGAAAACCTGCACGTGCCAGACACATTTCCCAAATGAATGCAACAGACCAGCTATTTAGAAACAAGAGGGCGTTGGGGGCTGTGACAAACGGGACATCTCAGGCCCCATCTGAAAAAAGCAGCCACTAGTCAATAGGGACAAAGGCAGCCAGATCTCTGGAGAGGCCGGAATCCCCAGTATCACGTGGAATCTCCCAGTTTTCAGTGGTGGCTCGTATAGTTTTGATTGTCACGCATACAAACAAAACACATCTGGTCACCAATCTGTGGCCTCTGTTCTAGAACACCACCCAGCTGCCTACGGTGGGGCAAGTCCTGCCGGGCGACGTCGCTGGAGCCGTGGCGGGGCGAGCACGTCTGTCAGCAGATGCCTCACGGCGCCCGGGCCCACACCCAGTCCTGGCGGGGCTGCCTGAAGCGCTGGCACAGGAAAACCGCCTTGAGGGGCAGTGTTTTCAAAGCAGCCATAAACCCAAGAGGGGACATCACACACAGCAGCACATTTTACAAGCACACTTCCCCACCTCGGCCAGAGTCCACACCACCCTCGACACGTTTTTGTTGTTGTTTTAATTCTGTGTCATACAATTTCCTGTGAAGAGAGGCTTTCAGAACTCAAAGAGCAGGGAGATGGTTGAAGACCACTCATCTAGGACAGCAACGCCCTACTGAGAACGGGCTTTCCTTGTAGGGTCAATTTCTTTCTCAATTTTTAGCCTTCTCAATTTACAAAACAGAGCGAGAGACTTCGCTGGTGGGCCAGTCAGTGGCTAAGACTCTCTGCTCCCAGTGCGTGGGGCCCAGGTTGGATCCCTGGTCGGGGAACTAGATCTCAGGTGCCACAACTAAGGTGCAGCCAAATTAAAAAAAAAATAAATTAAAAAAACAGAGAAAACTCAAATTTCTTTGGGGTCACTAAGCTTTCGCATATGCTACCTGACTGTTTAGGTCACCCTGCAGTTTCCCGAGTTTATGTAGGCCAAAAGTAGAGGTCAGAGTTATAATTTCATTTATCTCTCTTCCCCTTTGTATTATGTAGGCACTCACTCTCACTGCAAATTGTGTGTGTGTGCGCGCGTGTGTGCACGCTGTCCTCTCTACTGATCAATTTCTCCGGCCTAACAGTATCTGGTGCACACAAAGCGCCCAGCACAGACCTGCTCAGACCGCTGTCACTGTCCCGCCTCACTCCAGGAGAGGGAGGGGAGGCGGGCCACGCAGGGCGGGCGTCCTCTGTCTGTTCTAAGTACCTAACGGCCTCCCTGTCCTCCCCCAGCCTCCCCTCCCAGAGACACTCCCAGAACCTCACAGGGCTCCCTGGAGTTCAAAAATCCCTATTCCAGGATAAATAAATGTCATACTTTAACATCCTAATTTAATTTTAAATTTATTGGGAAAGTGAAAGTCACTCAGTCCTGTCCAACTCTTTGTGACCCCATGGACTATACAGTCCATGGAATTCTCCAGGCCAGAATACTGGAGTGGGCAGCCTTTCCCTTCTCCAGGGGATCTTCCCAACCCAGGGATCAAACCCAGGTCTCCCACACTGCAGGCGGATTCTTTACTGGCTGAGCCACCGGGAAAGCCTAATTATGAAAGTGAAAGTACCCTTTATTAATCTCTTCTACTCAAGCTGCTTTTATTCTAGAAAACTACTTTGAAGTTTCCCAGGGGTTCGTCTAAGAGATGGAAAATTGGAAAAGAGATGAAAACTAAAGAGCTTAAAGGAACGTTTGTATGTATGAAGAAAAATTTGTCAGCAGTCTTGAGTGGTGCAAAGGATCCTGTGTTGGCCGCTGGGTGGCGCCCTATCCCCAGGCGCCTTAATTACTCTTCAGGGGAAGGGACAGGAGGCGGTAAGGAAACCGCAGCGCAGTGAGTGCCTGAGGCTGGAGTTCTTAGCCCGGGAATCTGTGGGCCAACTGGTTCCTTATATAACTTCTTACTTGAAATTACAAGCCAGTCTCAATTCTTTAAATTACAAGTTTCTCCAAGACAGAACAACTTCTACACCCACCCCCTGCAGACCCATAGCCAGACATGTAACATGACCGAGAAACTGCTATTTTTTAAGCCACTGGGACTTTAGGATGTTTGTTACAATAACATTATCTAGAATGATGTGACTGATCCACCTTTAGATGGTAGTGTGACGTCAGGGGAAAAAATGTGCCAGCTAATGCAACTGAAAAACAAATTAGCTCTTTTTAGTAATTTCAGAACTCAAGCAACTAGGTCTTAATATGTCCTGGTGGTTTTCTAAAACTTGTATCAGTTTCAGAGGTGCCTGTCTAAATCTACCAAAATGCTCACATGAGGAACAAAACCAAAATAAAGGGTGCCTGAAAATGGTTTTGTTTGCAAAGCAAAACTGTGTATGCTTTAAAAGGCACACAAGATGGCTTCAGGGAAATCACTGGAAATGGGGGCATTTAGTACAAATATTACTACCGTCTACTACAACCTTGAAGGCGTCGTGCCTTGAACAGAGGTTTGAGGGGTCAGAGTCCCAGTCAGACAGTATGCGGTTCCCACCTTGCCCACCCTGTCCTTCCTGCAGAAACAAATGATCAATAACTGAATCAGCCTTCGAGGATCCCATGTAGCCTCCTAACTGTTTGGAAACTTGTCTCTGATCCATGCAGATCTTTCTTTCTTGTCTCTGAAATGCCAGCTCGTCCTTGATAGCTAACCTCATACTACCCTGTTTTGCTCTTTGACCACCACCTATGCACATACATTGCCTCCAAAATAGCCCAGGACAAGTGCATGCCCTCCATTTCTGCACACCCACTCAGCAACCAGCATCACTTAATTCAACCACAGGTGAGAATTTACTTGACAGCTCGGGGAAGACCTTCCGCTCTAACATATGCTGAAGTGAACAAAAACAAAACCCAAAAAAACAAGTGAAAAAGTCACCATGAATGAAAACACCCAAAAAGAAAATGATTTAGAGGAAGCTGAAAATAAGGACCACGGATATATGCTAGTATAAAATAAAAATTTTTTTAAAAGACCGTGATAACCTGATTTCTCAAAAGTTGAATTCTGTGTCCATCACATTAAAAAAAAAATTCTACAGCAAAATTAGAGGGTAATTAATCAGATCACAAAAGGACTCACACCTCAAGGTATTGGGTAAAAAGTTCATTTGGATTTTTCTGTTAAGATGATAGGATTCTTCAGGCAAGAATACTGGAATGGGTAGCCATTCCCTTCTCCAGGGGATCGTCTGCACCCAGGGGTCAAACCTGGGTCTCCCCCATTGCAGGCAGATTCTTTACCATCTGAGCCCACCAGGGAACCCCTAAGATGTTACGGAGAAACCCGAACAAAATTTTTGGCCAACCCAGTATCTCAAACTACAAAGTTTTCAATAGAGAAGACTGCTTGATTTGTAAGATTATAGTCCACAGAAGAGTTTTCATGAATTCGAATCTATTACCTTGCAAACAAAACCATTTTCAACTAACTCCCACTTCCCCTGATGGGAGTAAGAAGGGAATCTTACCTTCTTTTTGACTAAACAAGATGATGAAGGCCAAGTTGTTGGATGTATAAAATCATGACATCAAAAAACTGAAAGACCCCTTTGAATAATCACTCCACTAAAACGGTTCCCTTTACATCCCAGGACATTGTACACGGCAGGTGTTAGAGTCTTGCTTCTTGCTCGTCCTCTCAGTCAGGGCCCCTAAATGCCAGGCCCAGAGATGACCACTAGCGTACAAGATGAGCAGGCAGTACCTGTACCGAGATGTTCGCAACCCGCCCAGGGTCTCTGGGACAGGACCGAGCCCGAGGTGGCTTTGGCGGTCACGGGCCTTAGCAAAGGCCACTGGAGGGTCCTGGGGAGGCACAGTGCTTCACCGTTCAGGTCCTGAACAGGAGCCGCGTCTCAGCCCTTCCTCCCACATGCCACTGGTCACCCCCAACGTATTACCCCAAACTGAGCTTTCATTTCCCTCCCCACATCCTACTTCTCCCGTGAAGCTCTGAGTGTGGTTAATGTCACCATGTCCATCTTCACTGGTTCACATCCACTTCCCCTTTCAGTTTTCCTTCCGTGTCCTCCAAGAGCTAGTAAGCCAGCGGGTCAGGCTGAGGGCTTCCAGACGGTTCTGGAACCATTCTCATCACTGGCACCACTGCCAAGGCACCTGGGGAACCTGAATGTCTTGCTGGGCTGTGGCAGCAGTGGATGGGCTGGTTTCACTTGGTTAGCCTTGGCACGGCTCCTGGTACATAGCAGGTGTTTAATCAATGCTAGACTGGGAACCCGGTGGTTGGAAACTTCATTCTCAGGTGCCCATAATAGAACCAGGAAGTAGGACCCAAAGACAGTGCCTTGGAGAACCAGGCTTGAATGCTGACACCACCATCTTTCTGTGCTTCCTCCTACTCATTTTCTCTTGAGCCTCCAAAAATCAGAAGCTCTTGTTCCTGAAGCCAATCACAGGTGCTGGCACTGTGACAATGAGCTGCAATAAATACTGTGAATACCTGGCTGGACCGCCCAGGAGGTGCCAGCCTCCACAGTGACAGGTCTGGGGAATCCAGATCAACCTCCAGCCGGGTGAATGGCGGAGGAGGGGGCGCCCCCGTGGACAGAGCCTGGGGTTTTACTGCCTCCTTCAAGTCCTGCCCTCCCTGCCTCTCCTGGCACTCACCGCTGCGCACTGCCCCAAACTAGCCTCCCAAAGGGGTGACCACGACTTGGATCTTTTGGCAGACCGCGCCCACCCAGCAGCAGATTCGCTGGTCAAAAGTACAGACAGACACCAGGTCTACACCCATACAACTAACAGCTAGGAAGCTAAGAAGCTGAATAAATGCTGGTCTATGGGTTTATCTGCCCAAATCAACACTAAAAATAATTCAGGGGAAGGAGGAATATAATTATTTATTTTAAGAAAAAACTACAGATTAAGAAATAATCCAACCCTCATCGGGCTGGGCATTACCATATTTCCAGGTACCAGAAAGAAAATTATGCGGGAAAATATGAAGAAAAGACAGAAGTGTCATTCATATTACCAAGGTATTTACAAAGGTAACACAAAGTATCTTAAAACAGTGAAACACTTAGGGGAAAGGAAAGGAAGGGAACTCAGACAGGCAGAGAGAAAACACGGTCCAGACATAAACTCAAAAAGCCCCTAGTCACAGCTCTCCCCGCACTGCCTCCACCTCCATCCCTTCACCTCCCCATCGTTAAGTGACATCAACAGGAGACAGAGGGGAGAAGCAGGAAGCTAAAAACTGGCAGAATTTAAAGAACGCGTCTTTGTAAAATCAGGAGCAGAGCCTGGCAAATTCTGAGCCAAGACCTTTATGCCTTCCATCCTGAGGGAGGAAGCATTCATCCTTACAACCTTACAGCAGGCATCCGGACAGAAGGTCCCAAGGACGGCACACCCGCACGACCTGTGCCCTATGTCAATCAGACACACAGCTCTAAGGACGAGAAAGGTTAACGCATGTCACAGCCTCCAAAGTCAGCTCTGACGGATGGGCTCGGTGTTCAAGTGTGAAGAGTTAACATGTGTAAATACTATATATTTGTTTGTGGCTCAGCTAGCTATTAAAGAATGAAGGGCTCCCATTATCAAATTTCCAAGTACCTGCAGCATTGCCCTGTGTGCGTGGAAGCTCTAAGCAAGTCCGCAGGTTGGGGCCTGTGTGTGCCTGCAAACACGTGCTGGGCCTCCCCCATCCCCTCCTCCTTCCACACTCACTCTCAGCAGTCATAACAGCACCTGGCTCACACAGACGCACTTTTGTTAAACAAATGAATCCTTATTCTGCCTCGGAAACCTACAGTCCAAGTCAGACTCCTAACATTTGGAATTAAAAGCAAAAATTAAGAGTAAAAAAGCCAGAATCTTCTACAAATAAAAAGCTGTCTTTACGACAGCATATGTGACAGACTGGAGAACCTCTTTGCTTCATTTGGGTTTTTTGGTTTATTTTTTGGCCACACCACTCAGTTTATTGAATCTTAGTTCCCCAACCAGGGATTGAACCTGCACTCTCAACAGTAAAAGCACAGAGTCCTAACTACTGGACCACCGGGGAATTCCCCCTTTCTGCGTCTTGTCGTCAGCTATACTATGAATATAACGGAAGGGGCTGCCGAGAAGAGGCATGCGTTAAATGGGATGTGCTATACTAATTGCTCTATTTTCTAAGCTCTTACCAGTTTTATTTTAGAAGAAAGATTTTCTGGCAATTTTGCTTTTAGTTGATTTGTTTCCTTGAATGTCGGTGGAAATCCACTCAGGAAAGCCAAATCTGGCATTAGCACTAGCCCAGGGGCTTCCTTATCTGTTGTCTAAAATAAGAACAGGAAAAACACGGCTCACTTTCCACATCATAAGGCTGGTGAAAACTTACAGCTGAGAAAACTAGGAAAGATCTGTTATTGCATCACACAAGCTTCAAAACAAGAATGGTATGATTATTTAAATCAATACTAGTACTGGAAAGCTTACAGGAAAAGTAAACATTAAAAAGCCTCTCAAAGTAAAACAGCTTTATTTCTCACACTTTTATTCTAACGGATTGCAAAAATACAGCTAATTTAAAGTAACATACCAAATAGCCCCTCCAAACTGTCTGTCTGCTGTTTTCTTTAAACATTCCAGCCTGGGCATCTTCAACTACAACAGAGAATACAATAAACAAGCATGATTTTAATGAATACTTAACCATGATGTCTGGCAGGATACTGTACAAGGCATTTTGAGAGCTGTCAAATTTTCCAGTAGTCATGTATGGATGTGAGAGTTGGACTATAAAGAAAGCTGTGTGCCAAAGAATTGATGCTTTTGAACTGTGGTGTTGGAGAAGACTCTTGAGAGTCCCTTGGACTGCAAGAAGATCCAACCAGTCCATCCTAAAGGAGATCAGTCCTGGGTGTTCACTGGAAGGACTGATGTTGAAACTGAAACTCCAATACTTTGGCCACCTGATGCAAAGAGCTGACTCATTTGAAAAGACCCTGACGCTGGGAAGGACTGGGGGCAGGAGGAGAAGGGGACGACAGAGGATGACATGGTTGGATGGCATCACTGACTCGATGGGACATGAGTTTGAGTAAACTCCGGGAGTTGGTGATGGACAGGGAGGCCTGGTGTGCGGCAGTCCGTGGGGTCGCAAAGAGTCGGACACGACTGAGCGACTGAACTGAACTGAAACCAGTATAACACATGGTCTCAGAGAAAAGGTAGTTGGGGGAGACAGAATTAACCCATCTAACAAAAGGGGAGCTACTGTAACCCACTGTAATTCTGCAGGACTGAAGGAGAGGCTCCGGTGTGCAGAGGAAACAGAAATGAAAAGATTGACGGGAATGACAGAGGTAGGACCAAACATCAAACATCCACAAGTTTCATTTAAAAAATAAAATTGTTTGACGAAGAGTAAAACATTTGGGAGTGGTGGGTACGAGGGAGAAAGGGCAACCAGAAAGGGCCCTTGAAAGCCAGGCCAGTGGCGTTTATTGATAGATGGACGTGGGGAGGCACTGTAAGTCCGGGGATTCCCCCAGAGTCACCGTGAACTCCTGTGATTCATCAGGTAATGTGATTAGAGCAGATTAAGTTGGGAGTCGGGAGGGTGATAGGCTTCGCAGGTGGCGCAGTGGTAAAGAATCTGCCTGCTGACACAGGAGACCTGGGTTCAATCACTGGGTTGGGACAATCCCCTGGAGTAGGAAATGGCAACCCACTCCAGTATTCTTGCCTCGGAAATCCCCTGGACAGAGAAGCCTGGCAGGCTACAGTCCGTGGGGTCGCCAAGAGTCATACATGACTGGGCGACTAAGCATGCACAAGCAAGGACGGTGATGATGCATGCCGACCAGGCGAGAGCTGTCAAGTGGTAGGGACGAATGGAATCAGCAACCTGCTGACATCTGGGGACCATGGAAAACAGGAGGTCAGAAGGCTGTAATCCTCATTCTCAAAACAGACACAGAAAGCAGGGTCCACAGATTATAGCCCGCAAGATGTAGGTCAACCCTGGGCAAGAGCCTCAAATGTACCATAAAAATATAGTTGGTGAGTGCTGGAGAAGGTCTTCACAGTATACTGTTTATCTTTAATGGAAGCACTGGGGGCTAACTGCATGAGTCCATCATGGATAAATTTATCAGATACACACTTCACTCTGTCCCCATCTGTCTCTCCCCGCTGATAAGGTGGATTCTATACTGGTAGATCATTTCATGGCAAACACACGGAGGAAAAGTGGAAAAGTTTATTCTCTTGGGCTCCAAAATCACTGCGGATGGTGACTGCAGCCGTGAAATTAAAAGATGCTTGCTCTTTGGAAGGAAAGCTATGACAAACCTAAATAGCGTATTAAAAAGTAGAGACATCACTTTGCTGACAAAGGTCCATATGGTCAAAGCTATGGTTTTTCCAGCAGTCATGTACGGATGTGAGAGCTGAACCATAAAAAAGGCTGACCAGCACAGAATTGATGCTTTCAAATTGTGGTGCTGGAGAAGGCTCTTGAGAGTCCCTTGGACTGCAAGGAGATAAAACCAGTCAATCCTAAAACAAATCAACCCTGAATATTCACTGGAAGGACTCAAACTGAAGCTGAAGCTCTAATACTTAGGTCACCTGATGCAAAGAGCAGACTCACTGCAAAAGACCCTGATGCTGGGAAAGACTGAAGGCAGGAGAAGAGGATGACAGAGGATGAGATGGTTGGATGGCATCACCGACTTGATGGACATGAGTTTAAGCAAGCTTCGGGAGTTGGTGATGGACAGGGAAGCCTGGCGTGCTCTGGTCCATGGGGTCGCAAAGAGTCAAACATGACTTAGCAACTGAACAACAACAATACTGGTCGATCAGACAATTAGAAGAGTTGCACAATATGTCTTTGTTCATAATCTCAGGAAGGCAGCTGAACACCACCTCATGTCATCTTTATGGGTCTAACAGAGACTAGACCTCAAGTTAGGCAGGTTATAACCAATTCTCACCAGAGAATATAAAATTATAAAAGCTATAGTCAACCCAGAGAGGGGTTTTAGAGGTCTGCTATAGGTTCTGTCTTGTTCAACAATCCATCAAGGTTTTGGAAGATACAGAAGTCATGCTTGTGGAATGTATGGGCTTATAGGAAGCTAACAGAGAAGCTATTACCCTGGGTAACAGAGCAAAGGTACCCCCCAAAGTCCTTGACTGTTTAGAGCCATCAGTCAAATCTAGCAAAATAAAGTCTCCTACAAACAGAGGTAAGATCTTTAACTGGGCAACAAAACAAAACCAAGTATAAATTAAAAGGAATCTTTGAAGAAAAATCAAAATTTAAAAAAATTAAATAAAATGGGTATTTTAGTTAGTAAATGTAAGTTTTAAAAAAAAGACTTAAGAGGCATTTTAGTCGACAGTGAGTTCAGAATGAGTCAGTAATGCTAAGGCCATACTGAATTTCCTCCTAACGCTGTGCTTTTAAGCAGGAGAGGGCTTAGAATAAGAAGGGTGATATTCCCCAACACCAACCCATCAGGAAACCCTATTGAGTTGACCTTCAAAATGTCCAGAGTCTAACCACTTCTCACCACCACGCTGATCCAAGCCCCTTTCCTTCTTACCTCAATTATTACAACCTTTGCCCCTCCTCAGTCTGTTTCCACTATAGCAGCCAGACTGATTCTTCTGGAACATAAGTCAGATCACAAAACCCTTCGATGATGGATTCCGCAACACACTCTGATTTAAAGGCAAAAGCCTGTACCATTTGGTGTCTGTTGCTTCTCTGGGCTCATCGCTTGCTCTCTCCTCGTTCACTCTGTGCTAGCCACACTGGCCTCCCTGCTCTTCTTCCAGCGTGTCAGACAGACTCCTGCCTCAGGGGCCTCCCACTGGCTATTCCACTTACCCTGTATATAGGGAATATATGGAGAAGCACTGCTTGCCCACAGACTCATGTGGCAGGCTCTCTCACCTCCTTCCAATTTTCATCAGAAATCACCCCCTCGGGGAGTCTGCCCTACCCGCCCCGCCAATTTCCCCTGTCCTGTTTTTCTCCACAGCATTCATCTTCTACAAACTATAGGATTTAACCTGTATGCTCTATCAGTCATCTGAGCCCTGGGCCAAGATGTAAATTTAATGAGGGCAGGGATTTCTGTCCGTCTGTTCACTTCTGCATCTGGCATATAGTATGTACTTGATAAACAGTGAAGAAACAGTCCCGATCTCTTTGAAGACTGAACCACACTGGAATAGTGTTCAATTCCAGGTGAAACACTTTAAAGGTAATAGAAACTAAAGTTCATTCTGAGAGGATCAAACGAGGGTGCAGTCAAGTACCTAACAGACAGCTAAAGAAGAAGAAACGTTACACAGGGCAGGGACTGGCTCCACCGGATGCCAAGGGCACAAACTGAACCAGAGTGACAAAGCTGTAAGGAAGCACTTCGTAGTTCCTCGTAAAAATCAATGTCGTCCAGAGGCAGAATCAATTGTCTCAGGGGGAAATTCATTTCCTAAACATCAAAGGAGACAAGCTTGACTGGAAAACCCATTTTGCTGAGATGCGGGTCCTGGCTGCAGGGCTGGACCGTGTGACTGCTGAAGTCCCGTCCAATCGGCAGTGCGGGACACAGCGGAAGTGGCAGGGTGATCAGGAGAGGGCAGAAATGACACGTTTCAGAAGGAACAAAAACCAACCGACAGATCTCAATGATTAACTGGAAAGAGGTTAAATGAGATTATCTTTAACATGCCAAACATGGCTAAAACTTCTTAATCTAGATCAGGGTTTGGCAGTCCATGGTCCAAAATCTAGCCACTGCTGGATTCAGCATGGCCCCGATCTAAAAACAATGTTAGCGTTTTTAAACGGCTGAATGTTTATGCAAATACCTACATGATAGCTGGCATTTTGACTCTTAGCCCACAAAGCCTAAAGTATTTACTACCTGGTCCTTTATGAAACAATTCTGCTATCCGTGATCTAGATACCTAAGCATGAGAAAAGAGTGAGTTTGTGGCCTACTAAAACTGGAAGCTACATGAAGGTAGGAATGTGCCTTTTTTTCCCTCTGCTGTTTGCCTAAAACAACAACCAAGTCAGAGCAGTGGCTCAACAAATATTTACTAAATGAGTCAATGTGATAAGCAGGACAGTCAAATAAAAACCCAAGTGGAAATTAAAAAACAGTGTTTAAGAGACTATCACTTACTATGAATCTTACCTATATCACACATTACAATCCTTTTTTTTGGCCACATATGGGATCTGAGTTCCCTGACCAGTGATCGAACCCAGACCCCCTGCATTGGAAGTGTGGAGTCTTAACCACTGGACGGCCAGGGAAACCCCAAACTTTACAATCTTTTACATCTTTGACATGTCATAAAATGAGTAGAGGAAAACCCAAGCTTCTCTCCATAGATTTTATAACTGAGTTATAATTGCTAACATAATATCATTCCTTTTTCTCTTCTGGTGAAGTGTTATCAGAGTAAATTGCCAATATCCACTGGATCATCAAAAAAGCAAGCAAGGTACAAAAAACCATCTACTTCTGCTTTATTGATTACTCCAAAGCCTTTAACTTTGTGGATCACAACAAACTGTGGACAATTCTGAAAGAGATGGGAATACCAGATCACCTGACCTGCCTCCTGAGAAATCTGTATTCGGGTCAAGAAGCAACAGTTAGAACTGGACATGGAACAACAGACCAGTTCCAAATCGGGAAAGGAGTACGTCAAGGCTGCAAATTGTCACCCTGTTTATTTAACTTATATGCAGAGTACGTCACGCGAAATGCCGGATGAAGCACAAGCTAGAATCATGATTTCAAGAAATATCAATAACCTCAGATATGCAGATAACACCACCCTTATGGCAGAAAGCGAAGAACTAAAGAGCTTCTTGATGAAAAGTGAAAGAGGAGAGTGAAAAAGTTGGCTTAAAACTCAATATTAGGAAAACTAAGATTATGGCATCTGGTCCAATCACTTCATAGCAAATAGATGGGGAAAAATGGAAACAATGATAGGCTGTATTTTTTTGGGCTCCAAAATCACTGCAGATAGTGACTGCAGCCATGAAATTAAAAGACACTTGTTCATTGGAAGGAAAGCCCATGATCAACCCAGACAGCATATTAAAAAGCAGAGACATTACTTTGCCAACAAAAGTCTGTCTAGTCAAAGCTATGGTTTTTCCAGTAGTCCTGTAGAGATGTAAGAGGTGGACTATAAAAAAAGCTGTGTGCAGAAGAATTGATGCTTTTGAACTGTGGTGTTGGAGAAGACTCTTGAGAGTCCCTTGGACTGCAAGGAGATTCAACCAGTCCATCCTAAAGGAGATCAGTCCTGAATATTCATTGGAAGGACTGATGCTGAAGCTGAAACTCCAATACTTTGGCCACCTGATGTGAAGAACTAACTCATTTGAAAAGACCCTGATGCTGGGAAAGACTGAAGGCAGGAGGAGAAGGGACGACAGAGGATAAGATGGTTGGACGGCATCACCAACTCGATGGACATGAGTTTGAGTATGCTCTGGGAGTTGGTGATGGACAGGGAAGCCTGGCTTGCTACAGTCCATGGGGTCGCAAAGAGTTGGACATAACTGAACTGAAAGCTAAACTCAGCCAAACAATAAATCATGTAGCTTGTTAAATTTGTCAAAAATTATCCTTTACTTTCCCTATATATTTAAAAATATAGCATAAATTTTAAAAATAAGTTTCTATACAAAATAGTTCAGAAACAGGTTGGTAATGTGAAGGGTGAGATGTCTGCACTTGGACCTTTCAAATCACAAACAGTAAGTACCAGGAAATGAGCACTATGTCAGACACTGTTCAGCACACAAACTGGTGAGGAGGTTTCTGCTGGGAAGAAATCAGATGAGAACCCCAGAAACTCCAATGCAGTCAAAAACTAAGCTGTGAGGTAGATTACAAGTGCTACAGGGATACAGAAAAATGAAATCATCGTGAATGTCCCAGTCCAGGATCCTCGTGGAGACAGCACTGGAGATGGGGCTGGAAAGAACAGGCGACGGCCGGAATTCCCTGGTGATCCAGTGGTTAGGACTCCGTGCTTTCAATGCCAGGGCTTTCGGTCCCTGGTCAGGGAACTAAGATCCCACAAGCCATATGGCACAGACACACACACACACACACACACACACACACGAAGAACAGGAGATGGGCTGGGAGAGGAAGAAGAATGGGACAGGCAACAATCTGTGCGTAAAGACACTGACAGTTGCAAGGAGATGCAAGGAGGGCTGGGAAGCAAGGGATGACGGGCACGACCAAGGCAACTAAACCTCGATCTGGACCATCAGCAAGAGGGTTTGTATCCATGTAAAAAACAAATACGTACTACTATTCTTCTCTCCAAAGAGAGAGCCGCTGTAAACAGGTTGGAAAACGCTGATTTTATCAGTTATGTGCTGGACAGATCCGAGAACTTTAGAAGTAGACAGAGTAGACAGGACTCTATTACTGGAACTGAGTGAAGAAATTTGGTCTGGTGTAGAGGAAATCTGATTAAGTATGAAAGATAAGATTCTTGCAAAAAAAAAAAGCAGCTAATAGGATGCGGCTGATTACATATTAGAGTAAGAACAGGTCAAAGACAGTTCCAGAATGAGAACTTGAGAACAGAACTGTAAAGGTGACGAGGCAGCTTTCATCTTACGCAAGGGAAAACAGGTTCCGGGGAGCGCGGCTCAGCGCCGAGGAAGGCTAAGAGACAAAAGGAAGGATCACGGAGGGAGACTCAGGCGTGGGGCTCAGCAGCTCAGTGGCCAGATGGCAGGATGGGATCTCGAAGGATGTGGGTGCAGATTTTATGCCAAGAATTACAAATTTAATGATATTATCTGGCCAAATCAACTGCATAACCAGACATTTCAGAACATTCAGCATGAATGCTCCAAGTATGGTCAGTCCAAGCTGCAGAAGACAACCTCACTGAGGAATTATATGGTTTAAAAAAAAAAAAAAGCCTCCAGAATAACTCAGAGCCAAGAGAATACAGTAAACATTGAGTTCCAGGTTTCAGGACCTGACCTCAGCATTCAGGCTGGCATGTGTATTGCACAGAATGAAATACATATAACCCCTTTCTGAAATACAATAGCAGCTCTTCTGCTTCCTGTTATATTTTTAGTTTATCAGGCATTTTTAAAAAACTTAATTCTGTTCCATTCAAACTTGTGTTATCCCAGCATCCAATGATATCAAGACTTTAAAACACCCACAAGAAGATCTTACCGTTCTTAGTACTGTCGAAAACAACAACTGAGACGTTAGTGGAAGGGTTTTTTGGTTTTGCAACGTTGAATACATCACTGGCAGAATGGAAAGAAGGATAAAGAGACGGCAGGTCCTTCAGTGTGATGTTGGCGGGCAGGGCTGGGTCCAGGACAAGCATTGGCACCTTAATGCAATGTGTCAGCAAACACTCCAGAGGCTTCTCACTGGAAAGACACAAACACGCTCACAACCACGTGCTTGAAAAATGTAAGCAACGCTGAGAAGCCCACTGGTTACTACTAAATTTTACAGGTGTTTCTTCTGTGTTTTATTTAAAAATCATAAATGCTCAATAAACAAGGAGTTCTATTTCAAGAATATAAAAATTTAGTGAGTTAGCAAGTCTGGTAGAAAATTATTAAACAAGTGCAACTCAAAAGATAGAGCTTTCCAATTCCTATTAATAAAGTAAGACTGCCACAAAATTTACTAACTCAAAGGTGCACAAGAAATTAAGCATTTCATTACTATTGTTTTCAACATCATCTGTAACTCCAGTAAAGCCCATGATTAGACAGGTTAGGAAGTAGATAAATTCTGGTTAACAATGTCATCAGTTTACCAATTCCAACTAGAATAAAACCTAGTGCCCTGAATATAACAGAACACAAGGCAAAAAAAAGCAAATGTGACACAGCGTGATGGATTTACATGAACTATCCCTGCCTAAACATAAGAAACACCTAGGATAACAGTCAGTGGCCACAGAGAATTCAGGAGGTAGGAGCTATGACCAGTTAATAAACAATGCATGAAACTGTGAAACCTCATCAATGATCAAAGAAATGCAAAGAAAACAATGACCTTTAGCTTACTAAATTAGCACCCCTCAAAATATGAAGAGGCAATGTTTGTCCAAGTGTAGCATGCCTACCTTTCTCAAACTCTGCAGTGTCCCTCCAGATGAATTCCCCATTTCCTCTCTACAAAAGCAATTTGCTAATATATACACATACATTATGTATACATATGGGCTTCCCTGGAGGCTCAGATGGTAAAGAATCTGCCTGCAATGCAGGAGACCTAGCTTTGATCCCTGGGTCAGAAAGATACCCTGGAGAAGGGAATGGCAACCCACTCCAGAGTTCTTGCCTGGAGAACTCCACGGACAGAGCAGCCTAGCGGGCTACAGTCCATGGGGTCACAAAGAGTCAGACACGACTGCGTGACTCACACACACACCCCCCTACACCTCCATCAGACCCATGAAAACACACATGTGCTTCTTCCACAGTAGTTTATGTCCAGGAATGTAGTCCAAGTGGAAGAGAAACAAAAACAGGAAAAACAGACAAACCCACATGCAGAAAATGCCACAGACCCACAGACAGCATCAGTAGTGAAAATACAGCAGTTCCCAACATCTAGCAAATTACAGTACACTTTATGGAATATTATATAACTATTAAAATGGACAAGTAAGAAGTAGTAAGATAACATAGAAATATGTACAATTACATAAAACAAAAAACAGAATACAAAACTGCACAGATGAGAAACTGTTTACTATGAAAACGTGCATGAAAAGGAAATAAGAAAATGATCATAGTTGTGGAGTAAGGGCCACAGCATTACGTGAGCTTCTTCTTTCCTTTCCTCTTGACCTTTCTGTAACGTTGCATCACAGCTTCAATTTAAAAGTCATTTAAAAATAACAGTATTAGCAATAGATATTTATAAATAAATATGCATAATTAACATTGAGAGATGATTCAGAAGGCACTTCTGGATCACTTCTATGAATAACTCTTCTATTTTAAGTCTGATGGTTCAGTGGGCAAGTGGCAGTTAACAGACTTCCGCTTGTTCGTGCGACAGCCTTGTGTTAAGGGCCTATTTAGTGTCAGGTATGATTCCAATGAAGAGCAATAATCTGATTCTTGTCATTGGGCTAAATCTCCTTCCCAAATCCTTAGATATAAGACATATGATTATGTTGGCTTTTAAAGATAAGGAAATATACGTTGAACACATAATGAAGCAATGGACATAGATCCTATAAATGAAAACACCAGGTATAAGTTAGATTTGAGTGGACCAAGAGAATAGCACATCAAGACAGATGAACAGCAAGGGCAAGGAAGAAAAACGTTACCTAATGCATCTAGAAACGATAAAGCTTTGGTTACCTACAACAAGAATATCAGAGCTCTCAATCAACTCTGCCATTCTGTTCTCATCTAATGTATGCACTCAATTTAGGGAAGAGTGACTGAACAGGAGCAAGAGGAAGCAAAAAATACCATGCAGCCACAAAAGCAAGGAAGAAAAATCTGGACATTTCACTTCTCTTCTTTGATTTTCACTCCTGAGAGGAAAATCAAAATGCTTACCTCTTCTTGGTTGGTTCTGTTGTGTTCTTCCCAAGGATTTCTCTAGTGAAAGGACACAGATTTCATTACACACACATGGACAAGTGTTAGCCTTACATGAGAATATGAGGGAATTTAACAACATTGATTTTCCTGGTTACCCCACAAGGACCAACCAGTAGGTTAAAAGTACTGTCCTGTGTATAATATTTATGCATAATGAATTCTACATTTTAATAAGATATAATCTACAAATATTATCATGTCCCATCCACAGTAACCAGGAAAATTTACTTAAAATATAAGCTTTTACATTTTGTAGTAAAACTGGAACGAGGCTATCGCAGTCATTTTCATGCGCAGATAGGAGAGAGAGACAGACAGACAAATGTCTGCAGCACAGCAGGGCCAAAGGCCTGAAGCTGGGGCGCCCATAACATTTACAGAGAAACGAGTAGGGGGTTCCCGGTAAATACTCCTGAGGAACCGAAGGGGAAAGTACATCAGCCAGACCTCTGGTTCAGAAGGTTCTCCAGAAACCCACTGTACTTTTCCCAGATAAAGTAAATAAAATAATCAAAAATCCATTGAAACAACTACCCAGGTTTCTAATTCCTTAGTGTACTGTTCGATATTAAAAAGGGTGACAAACATACTTTTTACTACCTCTATCAAATGGAAGAAAAATTATGTCTGCAGGTCTGTTTTATTTTCAAGGGACTAATCTAGCTATCTTGCATAACAAAACCTTACTTCATGAAACTGTCACACCTGGGACTCAGGCTAAATGGGAAGGAAGACCAGGGCTCCCCTGGGTGGCTCCTCCACCTTTCGGCCCTCAGAGACCTAGAGCACCACGTTCATGAGACCATGGCCACCCGGCAAGGTGAGGCCAAGATCTCGCCAAAGTGGCCAAGTCCTTGCTGGGCACCAGGAAACAAGGGTCGATGCATGACTACCAGAATCGTGTAACGGCATGAACCTGAGATGCAGATTCTTGTTTGGACAACAATGTGAGCATCATCTCACCTTCTGAAGTGTATTGTTACTTATAACTATAGAATGTGCTGTGTTTCGTTCTCTTAACAATCCAATTAGTTTTACCTCATTGCTTTCTGCTCCTCCTCCATCTGTTCTCTGACTTGCTGCAGCTCTTTCAGCAGTTCAAGATCTGTGCCATTCACCCAGGTGTAAACCACGTCGATCGGCATGGGCAGACAGAGCCTAGGGAAACCCATAAGTCCTCCGGCTTATACGCATTTTCCCAATATATTTGGGAATAAGGAGAGCATACACGGATCAAGCTCAGAGGTTAGGAAAGAATATCAACAAAAAGGTAATCCAACCATGTGCATATCACAGCCTTGCATGTTTTGAAACTGGGGCTGGGGCAGTAATATTTACTGAGGACCTTCTCTGTGAGCTGCATTCTGCTAGACGCTTGATGTAGTTTTGTATCATTTGATCATCACAACCACCCTGTAAAGAGGCTGCTGTCCTTTCCATTTTAAGACTGTAGAGGAGGTCTTGGAAGCTCAAACTGCTACATTCTCAGTTTAGCAAATGAGGAAGCTGGGATACAAATGCAGCCAAACAAAGAAAAGAAATTAGAAGCTTAAACAAAATGACCCCCAAAAAAGTCAGCCAGCAAACCACAATGTTGGGGATTCCCCTGTGGCTCAGCTGGTAAAGAATCCGCCTGCAATGCGGGAGACCTAGGTTCGATCCCTGGGGTGGGAAGATGCCCTGAAGAAGGGAAAGGCTACCCACTCCAGTATTCTGGCCTGGAGAATTCCATGGACTGTATAGTCTGTGGGGTCACAAAGAGTCAGATACAACTGAGTGACTTTCACTTTCCACAACGAAAACCTACCCATTTAATGCCACAGACTTCCCATTTTCTGTTGTCCCCAAGCCAGGGCCCTCCCAATCCTGTTTGCTGGACCCTGTTTTTTTCTTTTTTCATAGCAGTAATCTCCTAACATATTAAATAATTGACACGCTACATACACTGGTAATTCATGTGTGCCTCCCCTAGAATGTAAGCTCCACAGCAGCAGGAATCACATCTGCTTTGTTCCCTAAGTACCCTGCGGACTAGGATTTGTGCCTGGCAGGTGGGAGCTCGATGATTTACTTGAGACACTAGCATAGAAGACCTTCCCAAACCCGCTCAGTTTCCCTTACTATCTATCATACCCCTGACCTAAGGAGTCAGTTAAATGAAAGTCATTCAGTTGTGTCCAGCTCTTTGTGACTCCATGGACTGTAGCCTGCCAGGCTCCTCTGTCCATGGAATTCTCCAGGCAAGAATACTGGACTGGGTAGCCGTTCCCTACTCCAGAGGATCTTCCCAACCCGGGGATCAAACCCAGGTCTCCCACATTGCAGGCGGATTCTTTACCATCTGAGTCACCAGGGAAGCCCAGATGTCAGGCAGGCTTTTAATTCCTGACTGTCCTGTCTAAGGTCCATCTCAGGTTTGCTGCTGCTGCTAAGTTGCTTCAGTCGTGTCCGACTGTCTGGGACCCTGTGGACGGCAGCCCACCAGGCTCCCCTGTCCCTGGGATTCTCCAGGCAAGAACACTGGAGTGGGTTGCCATTTCCTTCTCCAATGCATGAAAGTGAAAAGTGAAGGTGAAGTCGCTCAGTCGTGTCTGACTCTTAGCGGTCCCATGGACTGCAGCCTACCAGGCTCCTCCGTCCATGGGATTAACTACTGCTAGAAGTTTTCTCCTTCTTTCCTTCATCAACTTACCAGGATCCTACCCATCTTTCAGAGCCTGCTCTGGAGCTATACTAGAGAGTTCATGGTAACGTAAGACATATTTTGGATGATTCTGTTTCAGGTTTGATCTTTTCCGGAACGCTACCCTTTCGGGGTTATTTTTTTAGGGGGTGTGAGGGGGGTTGTTTTATTTTTAGGCCAAGGACCCAAGCTTACCCTCCTTTTTGTCTTCCTCACAGGTCAGGCACAGGATTGGGCCCCCGGTGCACAAAGGGCCCCAAAGACTAAAACGTTTGACAATCTTTGTTTTGGCCACAGGTTAATAATCTCGGGGGAAATAAGGCGGTTTGGGGGGTAAATCAATCAAATTATGGAAGGAAGTAAATAGATAATCACTTGTAGCTTAAAAGAAGATGAGATGGCTGGATGAAAGAGGTGTTTATCCACTGATTGAATAACTGTTTCCTGAGCGCTAGCGTGTGCCGTGCCAGGCACTGTCTCAGTGCTGGGGACTCAGCACAGACCGAAATGCATGCCTTCATGCAGCCTGCATTCTAGAAAGGTGAAGTCAGGAAATAAACCAAATAAATGAAGTCAGATGATGTTCAATGTTATGGAGCAGAAAGGGGAGATACACTGTGTGTCTAGGTCTTGTGGGGTGGGGGAGGGGGGTCAGTTTTAAATAGGGAGATCAGAGAGGGCCTTACTGGGAAGGCTGGCATTTCAGCAAAGGGATTAAGGAAGTGAGGAAGCTGCTATGTGGGCAATTGGGCAAGCAGAGCCCAGAGAAGGAAAGCGTCCTATGCAAATGTCCTGAGGCGGCCGCTCATCTGGCGTGGTCAGCGAACGCGAGGCCAGTGTGGCAGAGAGAAACAGGACCACAGGGAAGAAGCTAAGAAGAGACGAGAGGCAAAGAGGGACCAGGGGACCCAGAGTCTCATGGGGAAAAATGTGGAAGCAGTCACCTCACACTCAGGCATAAGTGGCAGTCTCCGAGTCCTCCCGTCAAGGTGCGTCACTGCCTGCAAACCCCATAATCCACACCTTGTGCTCTAGGCGTGCCAGCTGTATGTCCTTACCCAAACAGGGCAACAGCTTGCAGGCTTCTGTAACTTTGAACACACTTCTCCCTCTGCTTAGAATATCCTTTCTTTCATTCTTCTTTTAACCACTTCCTCATTCCCCAAACGCCCTCTTCCCTCACCTCTCACAAAGAAAATGTACTGCTTAACAGGCAACTTCCACTGTACTCCATACTCTAAGGAGTCCTTAGCATACTGGCTGTACCACTTTTCTGTCTTCCACTACATCAAGCATCTCTAAGGCAGAAACAGTGTTATGCGTTCTGTGCCCATCTTCATTAATTACGTCCTCTCTTTCCCACACACTCTCAGGCTCTCGCTCCCTACTGTCATGATATGCAAACATAACCTTCTCTTGATTTTCTTCTGCATGTTTCTATATGGATGGTTCCGAATGTCAGCAGACATCAGAAGCACCTATAGGACTTGTTGGACAGATGGCTAGGCTCCATCTACAGAGTCTCTCATTAATTAGGTCTAGATTGGGGGCCCCAGAAACTGCATTCCTAACAAGTTCCCAGGTAATGCCAGTGCTGCTGGTCCAGAAACTCACTTTGAGTGACTTATATGTAGATTACAGTTCACTTTTTTTTTTTATTAAATAAATAAATACCCCCCCCCCGCCCCACTAAAATATCACTTCTGTGTGAGGTCAGTGAGTTCCTCCTGTTCAACACTATGTGCCGGAATACTGCCTGAGACACAGTGGGGTTTAATATGTATTTATTGTCTAAATAACTATCAGTTCATTCCCTCAACATAAACAGTGGTCTCTTCTCTTAAAAAAAAATGTTTCACATTACCCACATGTAAGTTAGGTCACAGGTGGTCTACGCTTAGACAAAAAATTAACAACAACAACAAAAAATCCCACTCAAGTGACATATTTTAGAAAGGCTTTTAAAAAGGAAGGAGAAATCTATACATTCCAAAGTTTTCCTTTAAAAGTAACTATCAGCTATTAAAGATTGTTTTAATAGTCAAGAGATTATCTCTACAAGCTCTACCAAGGAAAGCAACATTAAATATATAATTCATTTATGTCCTGGCTCTTTCAGTAAGACTGCATTACATGATCAACTTAACTCTCTGGTGTTAAACTGACAACCCTAAGAAGATCCTGTGATCTGCCCCTGGCCAGTGAGTCAGTTGTTTTTCTACTTATTAGACATGGTCACAGTGAGTCTGAGGCTTTCATTCTAACCACAGACCACTATCTTAGTCTCCAGATGAGAAGGAAGCCTTTATCTTAGAGCTGAAGACTAAATAAGTGATCTATGATTCAGAACCAAAGCCGTGGTGATAGTGACCCCACTCTTGTTTTAATCGCTTTAGTTTAAAGGAATATGAAGGCACCTAATAGTCCCTTGGTTCTACATCGCATAAAGCAGAGAAGAAAACTTAGAGCATAAACAGCATCTGAGAACCAGAGCTGGAAGAGATTTCACACTTCATCTAATGTCTGCATTTTAGAGATGACAAAACTGAGCTCCAGAGAGACTTACCGCCTCACAGTTAGTAGCAGTACATAATTTATATATTCACTTGGTACTGGCATATAGAATGGGATTTTTTTTTTCATTCAGGGACAACATTAAAAAGACATGCAGAAACACTAGCAAAACACTGAAAACTTCCTATAAACATTATGGCTATTTTAAAATATACTAGAACATATGATGTAATGGTGCTTCTCTTCAGTCGCTAAGTCATGTCTGACTCTCTGCAATCCTGTGGAATGCAGCACACCAGGCCTCCCTGTCCCTCACTATCTGCCAGAGTTTGCCCAAGTTCATGTTCACTGAATTGGTGATGCTATCCAACCACCAACATCCATGTAATATTACCTTTTCTTGTCATCAGCAAAATTAGGTAATTTTGAAATATCCCTGCATAAAAATCAAACTACATTTTAACGCAACCTAAAATTAGGAGGGGCTTCCCTAGTTCCTCAGCAGTAAAGAATCTGCCTGCAATACAGGAGACTTAGGTTTGAGCCCTGGGTCAGGAAGATCCCCTGGAGAAGGAAATGGCAGCCCACTCCAGAATGCTTGCCTGGGAAATCCCACGGAACATCGTGGGCTACAGTCCTTGGTAGTCACAAAGAGTTAGCCGCTAAACAACAACAAAATTATAAGAAGTACTGAGAACACACACATGCTCTTTAGAAAGAGAACATGATTAAGAGAGCTGACCTCAGTACCTAGATTATGTGAGCTGATTTTCCTTCTAAAAGTTCTGAGGCTCTGTTAAGGCTGAGAGGTATGCGTCAGTGCACAATCAACGCAGGGACAGCATCAGACAGAGCAGGCTGAGTACTCACAAATGCTGGGGTAAAAAAAGACAGCCATTTCGAGCTTTTCTTAGGACAATCAGCGTTGTTTTAAAATAAAAACTGGAGAAGTAGGAAGATTGTGTCTCATTATGAATCTGTTAATGCAACAGTTCTCATGGTGTGGTCACCAAACCAGCAGTTTCAGTATCACCAGCGAACTTTTTAAGACATGAAAATTCTTTGTAACCCTGAGACCTACAGATGCATAAACTCTGGAGGTGGGGAGAAACTGTTTTGTCAAGCCCTCTGTGGAATTCTGCTGCACACGGAAGCTTGAGGGCTGCTGTGTTAAGGAATGATTTTCAGACTTTTTAGGGTCCAGACACTTCACGCAATTAAAACTTAAGGAGCCCCAAAGCTTGTTTAAAGGTTTTTATGCCATTTTTTGGCCATTTTCAAAAATTAGTCAGCCATTCAAAAAATATTAATTCATTTTAAAACAACAGTAAATCCCTTCATGTGCTGTTTTAAATGAAAACAGTAGTATTTTTCAAAAAACGAAACAAAAGTTCAGTGAGAGGCATTGCTTTACATTTCTCCACATCTCTTTAATGACAGGAGAAGCAAGGAAGCGTCTCAATCTTCGGTATTCAATCTGTTCCCAGATGTTGTCTGGGTTGAAGAAAACTCAGGCTTACAGATACACAGTTAGAAAGGGAAGGGGCATTTTAATAGCCTTTTCAAATAGTGGTGGATATTATTTGATACCACACCAAAATAAGTGTTAGTTTCTTAAAAATCAGCTGCAATGTATAATCTGAAGCCATATTAGTAAACTTTTTGTGCCTTTACATTAAAATCCATAGGTCTTTCTTGCACACGGAATGGCTTTTATCTGTGTAAAATTCTATAACATCAATACATTGGTTATCTGGAAAACAAAAGCTTACTGAGTTATGCAGCTCAGCCAAATGGTGACGTATTTCCTTAACTTTCTTACATAATATTAACAAATGTGATTTTCTTGGATAATGCTGCAAATCTAATCAAAGAAGTCTTTATATAATATTGTGAAATGTTAGGCTCACAGGGGTGGAAACAAGTTTTCTTAAATTCTGATTTTCACTTGAAAGTTCAAATTTTATCACTGGCAATAATGACTTTGTTTCTTTCCCTTCAAACACAGGATTGCTTTGTTCACAGCAAAGAAAATATCTGCCAAATATAACCAAGCCTGAGTATTGACACTGTCATCTGTCCTTCCAAGTAATAACAGTGGTGATCCATGAAATAAACCAAGTTCAGGTTGCAACTCAAAACAACTGCATGAGGGCTTTTCCTCAAGACAGTCACCATTTGGTGCTTGATGTGTGCTTTCCGTTGCATCGCACACAACGTTAAGAAAATGTGTACTCACAGGGCCAAGATATAATCAAACTAACGTTTCAGAAACAACAGCATTTTTCTGACCCCTGCAGAGAGGATAATGGTGCTGCAATTGTACCCACCATGGCTTTCACACGATGAGTGCAAATAACGCAATAAAAAAGACAAGTAACACCTCAGTGTTGTCATAAAAGTAGCTTTGGTTCCACTGCCGCCCACCCCCCAACTGCCCCCCATCCCCTGGGTCTTTGGAAACTGTTGTTTTAAGAGCTCCTAAGAGAAAGATCTAGAGTTTCCCTACTTCCTTAGGTACTTGTTGATAAGCTATCTCCCCTACTTGACTGCAAAACGCTTTATAGTAGAGAGTCAGACCTCAGCATCTAAAACAGAGTAGGGCTCAAAGATTCAACCTTAATTGAGGGAGCAAATTCAGGGATGCCACTCACACACAGGATGCTTTAGGACTAAAGAGGAAAGCTTTAAGTGAACTCAAGGAATCCCACTGCCCTTCCTTGCTGAGATGTTCAGGACTATAATAGTGCATACATCTAAGTCTAATTGGCATAGCTTTTTTAAAAAACTACTTATTTGATAGGAACCACACAGGTACTCATAACAAGTGGATGGAGGTGCCAAGCAGTAATTCTAAACAGAAACAAGAGCTTCATATAAATTGCTGATGTAGTCTAGAGGCACTCCCAGAAAATGTTCAAGGTGCACCAATCAACACCAATTACTAGTTATATTTTTACTAGATTTTCTAGTTTAGTGCAGGTAAAGAGGAGGACTCATGGACTCTATTCTCCAGGGAAAATAAACAGTCAGGATCTAGGGAAATTTCTGATTACGGTCTTTGATAGTTAGACAGATGTCTTCTAAGAGGTTAACTATCTTTACTGGCTGCCCCACGTTTGTTTTTGGTCACGTTTGTTTTTGTTTTGTTTTTTGGTCACCTTTGTTTTTGTTTTTGTTCTATGCCCTCCAGCGACTAGCCTTGTGCCATTACAATGGAAAGGAGTCAACAGATACTGCACAAAGTAAGTCAAAAAGGAGACAATTCTGTTCTCCGTTCTTTTTTTTTTTTTTTAGGTTAAAAAGACAGACACCAGAAGAATCCAAAACAAAAATTCATTAGCCATGGTTGCTCTGGGTCAGGGGAAATTCAGAATGAGGCAGAGATATGCTTTACTTTTTACTTTTCTGTACTGCTTGAACTGTTTTCAACCACAGACATATATTGCTTTTATGATATAAAACAATGCAAGTAACAGGCAAAACAGGAAAAGAGCCTGTGTGATTCATTTCAGCTGGGAGAAGGGAAGGAGGATGTTGGAAAAGATTGCTTGCACTCTGAGGTCTGCCTCGTGAGGCAGGAAAAAACCTCCAAGGAAGAGGAAGGGTGAAGGCGGCATCCAGGAATGGCTGCACCAGGAAGCTTGGCCTTAGGGAGAAAAAGAGCCCACGTGTGAGGTTCTTTTCTCCTCCCCATAGCGAGGCAGTAAGGTGTGGTGACCACAAAGGCATGTGAGGGTCCTGGTAGATGCCACAGCAGATGCCCTGGTTATTAACACAGTGATGGGCAAAACACTGGCTGGGGCTTGGAACTGGCTACAGAGTAGCCATCTAGCTTTCTCATCCTAGGGGGACAGAATTATCTTTATCTCATACAACTGGGTCAAGGACAGAGTGAGCTCATGTAACTTAAAGTACTCAATACTCAGCAAGGCAGGATTGCTCTTTGAGAATCAAATTTGTCATCCGGAGAAACGTGAGGATGGATTACAAGGTTCCTTCACGTGTGAGTCGTTTTAAACAAGCTAAATCATACCTACAACTTGGAAAGACCCCTTCAACTGTTCCATATAAAGCATGGGTGATTTCACAACTTATCATCTGAGCCCAAATAAGCTACTCTCCAAAAGTGGTTTCTTCTCACCGATTCTGAAAGGACTTCCCAGCAATGTTGTCTCTGTAGGAATCAAACAAAACATGGTATTGGTCCCGGCTCCATTCCAGAACCACCTAGGGAAAGAAAGAAAAAGAAACAATGTTTACTTTACATCAAATATTGAGAGTATATAACTTTCATTTCATCTTAATTTCAGTAAGGATTGCCAAAGGACTCCCAAGGCAATAGAAATAAAAGTAAAAATAAACAAGTGGGACCTAATCAAACTTACAAGTTTCTGCATAGCAAAGAAAACCATAAACAAAATAAAAAGATAACCTACAGACCGGGAGAAAATATCTACAAATGATGTGACCGACAAGGGCTTAATTGCCAAAATATATAAGCAGTTCATGCAACTCAACAACAAAAAACAAACAATCCAATTGAAAAACAGGTAGAATTAAACAGACATTCCTCCAAAGAAGACATACAGATGGCCAACAGGCACATGAAAAGATGTTCAACACTGCTAATTATTAGAGAAATGCAAATTAAAACTACAATGAGATACCACCTCACACAGTCAGAATGGCCATCATTAAGAAGTCCACAAATAACAAATGCCTGGGAAAGTGTGGAGAGAGATGAACCACCCTACACTGCTGGTGGGAATGTAAGTTGATGCAGCCACTATGGAAAAGAGTAGATTCCTCAAAAAAAAACAAGGAGGTTCCTCAAAAACTAAAATAGAACTGCCATATGATCCAGCAATCCCACTCCTGGGCACATATCCAGACAAAAATATAATTCAAAAATATACATGCACAGTATGTTCACAACAGCACTATTTACAGTAGTCAAGACTGGAAAACCTAATATCCATTAACAGATACATGGATTAAAAAAATGCAGTTTTATACACACACACACACACACCATGGAGTACTACTCAGCAATAAAAAAACAACAAAATAACGCCATCTGCAGCAATATGGATGGAACTAGGGATTTTCATACCAAGTAAAGTAAGTCAGAAAAAGGCAGGCAAATACTATATAACATCATATATATACATATACACACACACACATATATATATGTGGAATCTAAAATATGACACAAACGCACTTTTAAGAAACAGAAACAGCCTCTAGACATGGAGACAGACCTGTGGCTGCCAAGAGCGAGCGGGTGGGAGACAGATGGAGTGGGAGTTTCGGTTAGAGGATGTAAACAGAACAGGTAAACAGCAAAGTTTTACTCTATAGCACAGGGATCTAAGAGAGGTTTCCCTGGTGGCTCAGCGGGTAAAGTGTCTGCCTGCAGTGTGGGAGACCCGGGTTCGATCCCTGGGTCAGGAAGATCCTCCGGAGAAGGAAATGGCAACCCACTCCAGGACTCTTGCCTGGAAAAATGCCATGGACGGAGGAGCCTGGTGGGCTACAGTCAATAGGGCTGCAAAAAGTCAGACACAGTCTTCCCTGGAGGCTCAGACGATAAAAGCCTCTGCCTACAATGCAGGAGACCCAGGTTCAATCCCTGGGTCAGGAAGATCCCCTGAAGAAGGAAATGGCAATCCACTCCAGTACTGTTGCCTGGGAAAATCCCATGGATGGAGGAACCTGATAGGCTACAGCCCATGGGGTTGCAAAGAGTTGGACACAACTGAGCAACTTTACTCACAGGGAACTAGAGTCAATATTCTATGATAAACCAAAATGGAAACGAATTTTTAGAAGAAGAATGTATATGTATATAAATGTATAACCAAATCACTTCGCTGTACAGTAGAAATTAACATTGTAAATCAACTATATTTCCATCAAAAAAATTTTTTTAATAAAGAATTGCTAAAGAAACAAGTAAAGCAATCAAAATTCATCCATTCACTCAGTGCCTGCCCTATACTGTGCTCCATCCAAATGAATAAGTTACAAGGATAGTTAGGGACTGCCCTGGGGGGTCCCGTGGCTAAGACTGTACTTCCAATGCAGGGGGGCCATGGGTTTGATTCCTGGCTGGGCGACTAAGATCCTACATACCATGTGGCAAGGCCAAAAAATAAAATTTAAAAAAATTCAAAAGGATGGTTATATAATTATGTAAATAAAAGCCACAGCTTCTGGCCTGTGGAAGGGGGAGGGGAGTCAAAGGGATTTAGTGCATTGTGATATGAGGACTGGGTCTTGCAGAACGAGTTCACAGGTAGGGAGAAACGGTCCGTGCCAGGAAAGCATGTTCAGTGCCAGGAGGGCATGTTCAAAGGTTGGCAGGCAGCAATGGGGGTTGTTTGAGGGCAACTGTTCTGCTGGTTTTGGCTGGACCGCAGGCAGCACCTAAGGAGAGATGGGGCCGGGGAAAGGGAGCCGGGCCCTGAGGTGGCCTGCCGTGCGAGCCGTGGGAAACGGGGGCCCTGGAGGTCTCCAAGGCAGCTACACGAGCCACCCAAAACACAGGGAGCTTTTCAAGCACAGAACACGAGCTACAACAGAAGAGCTGGACAAGACGTGGGGGCTGGTGACCTCACAGCCTGTGAGCTTTCAGCTGACCCTGCTCAACACTTCAGGAGGAAGTGGAAAGCTTTGGATAGGCGCGCTCTCATGGGTGCACCCCAAATCTGTAAAGCTGCCTCGCACGTGGGAGTGTCCCCTGTCCTTGCAAACACCCAATCTCTGTCTGGATCTCAACACCTCATCTTCTCAAGACCTTGCCTCCTCTCTCTTTCCCTCTCAATAGGGTTATTAGCGTATCGGCATATTCCGGCATCTCAGGGAAATGTGCCCTCCCCTCCAAACCCCCTCCGTCTTAGTCACTCTACTCTGAACTTTCTCTTCGAGGGCAGCTATCTTCAGAGAGACATCTCCTACGCACCCTCCAGCCACTCCAACCCCACTCCGTTCTCACCCCTTCGCTGGCCCTACCACGGCTTCCATGCTGTCAAACCCAATGACGATTTCCTGGCTGCGATCTGACTCAGCCGGCAGCGTCGCCCAGCGCCTCCTTCTTAAACCACTTTCTTGGTTTCCACCCATCACGCTGGTGGCTCCCTCTCAGTCCCCTCTGCCAGCTCAATCCCACCTCTCTGACCTTCTAAGGCGCCCTTTCATTCTGCTCCTCTTCCGGGAAGGCCTTCGCTCTTGCCAAGGCTTCTTCTGGGGTCCCGCTCTACCAGCCTAGGATGTGGCCGTGATACACTACGATGGCCGTGGGAGGCCCAGGCACTCAGATTTCACTCGAGCCAACAGAAGAGAGCGCGAGGGAAGACGAGCCCCTCTTTTGAGGAGACTTTCAGGACCTGCACCTGCCCCTTCCATTTGCATTGGCCAGAGTGCGGTCACACACGTCTGGCTCCGCCGAAGGCCCAGCGGGCCTAAACGGGCTACAGCTGCTGCCGGCTCCTTCCTGTGGCGTTCAGGCTTCTCAAGGCCTGGCCTCTGGCCTCCCTTCACCGGGATGTTTCATAAACACCCCAAACTAACTCTCCCACTCGAAGCACTGATTCAAAAACAACTGATGTTAGGGGCTTCCCTGGCAGTCTAGCAGTCAAGGCTCCACACTGCCACAGTGGGGACACAGGTTCAGCCCCAGAGGAGGGAACTAAGATTCTGAACGCTGCACAGCACAGCCAAAAACAACTTTTTTGAAAAATAAAAAAAATCAAAAAATAAATAAAACAACTAATTTCAAAGTGTGCTGAGTCTAATGTGCCTGGTACCATATTTACAAAGAGAATTAAGCTAAGTTACCTGACTTCAAAGAACTACAGTTGACATTTTTAATAAAGAACTGTATTGCAGGCTACAGCTGCACTGAGGGAATACCTGACTCTTTCCAGGAAGACACCGGGAAAGAGTCCCCTGAAGAAGCAACATCAGCAGAGTCTTAAAGGATACACGCAAGTCTGTCAGCAGTTCATCTGGGAAACAAGGAACAGTGGAGGGATCTGTTCCCAGATGGGAGAGAGGGCAGTGAAGGGGAAGAAGAGAATCAAGGCGATCGCTAGGTTTTCAGCGTAACTGAAATGAGTAACTGAACACAGACTAGGGCCACTTGATGACATGGGAGGAGCAAGTAGACAGAGCTGGTGGGACTCGAGTCCCACTTTAGTCATGGTATACTTGAGGTTGTAAGTGCATACAACTGGCCTGTCCACCTGGACTTGCAGACTCCCAGAGGAGGAGAAATGGGCTCTACCTTGGATATTGAACAGCACCGAACCAATGACAGGCACATAGCTAAGAAATGCCATCTGCCTCCAACTAATAAAAATAAATAAATAAATAAATAAAAATAAATAAAAAAATAAAAAAAAGAAATGCCATCTGTTTTGCTAAATATATAATAGACTATGTATCTATATTCAGTAATACAATTGTATGTATCTGTATCAGCTTATGAGCTCAAAAGGAAGCGATTCTCCATCAATATTCCTCTGTAGCTTGCAAAAGGACAACCAGTATATCTATTTTTCTTGTAAAATAAGCCACGAAAAAATAAAGCTCAATGTAATTGTCCTCAGTTAGTAGGGCAACCTGGAAGGTGGGGCAAAAACAGCAGAGAGCACGAGCTTCACCAAAGTCTGGGCAACGCTGATGTGCTCTGTGTGAACACAACGTGCCTTCCTTCATCAGATAAATTAATCTCTCCATCTCCAAACCACTCCAGTGTGTTGGAAAGAACAGCAACAGTGAAGGGTCCTTCTCTAACACACTTAGGAACACTCTTCTAGTGCAGAGGTCTCCACTCTCAGACCTTGGGGGAGATGGAAGGAATGCTGGGTTATTACTTGGGATGCGGGTTTTCATCCCAGCTCTGTCGCTTTGAGTGACCTTTGCATGCATGTGTGCTAAGCTGCTTCAGTCGTGTCCAACTCTCTGCAACCCTAGGAACCATAGCACCCCAGGCTCCTCTCTGGCCATGGGGTTCTCTAGGCAAAGAAGACTGGAGTGGGTTGCCATGCCCTCCTCCAGGGGATCTTCAGAACCCAGGGATCAAGCCTGCAACTCTTTCGTCTCCTGCATTGGCAGGCAGGATTTTTTACCCCTAGCATCCCCTGGGAAGCACATGAGTGACTCTGAGCAAATTATTTAGCCTTTTTGGCTATTCCTTCATCTGTATAATGAAGGGGGCC